TGAACTCTTGTTGAGCTCTGAACCTGTCAAGAGATACCGATTTTCATCGAGAAATTGTGAATAATAATAATAACACCCCAACATACTCAACATCATGTCAGAGAAGAAACGTAAATACATTGAACTGGCTGATGAAATCAAGAAAATGTCAAAATGGACAAGGTTATCATTGTGCCAATCCTCATATATACTACAGGGGTCATTCCAAAGAATTTACACGGAAGCATCGAGATATTACGACTGCAGAAAACAGTATACATGGTATTGCAGAGAATTGTACGTTTAAACACGGCAAATATAGTCAGAAGATTTTCGAGTCAAGAATAGGCTAGAGTATTTGGTGCAATCCCGTACTTTATCAGATATAAAACCAAGAAAACCTGAGAGATATAAATAATAATGATACTAATAATAATGTAGCAAATCGCCCCAAGTACTCTATGTAATTGGTTAGATGGTAAATGGCGAGCGGTATATTGATGGTGTTTATTTCCTTGGAGCTGCTACCTATAAAATTGTGGAGGGTCTATTCGCAAAAGAGAGAAACAAACTATTGAAGTTTACTAAATTATATTTTATTATACATAAAACCAAAAATTTAAATAAGCAAAATATCTTTCAATTTTGACAGCCACTTCAATTTTTTTTTTTCCCCAATTCAAATTATTTCACATCCGTTCAAATTTCATTATTACGGACCAGGAAATATCCATAAAAGAAAAACGCCCTACTCCTACGCCCTACGCCTACGCCCTACGCCTACGCCCTTCCGATTCATTCCTATTAAACTACCCTTCACCTATATCTATAAATTCTTAAAAATTCCCAAGTCCTTTACTAACTACTTATGCAAAATCAAAATACCTAATTATTTGTTTATTAATATAGGTATTACTAACTTATTCATAAAAAAAACCTTACAATAATTTCTACATGAAAAATAAAAACCCTAATTCAAAATTTCAGCAATTAAGATTATCAATGTTTCTTCATGAACAACAAGTTTCATTTCAAAACTTCCCATTTACATATAATGGTTTATTTAAATCAGAACAATTACTAATTTCCGATTCCTAGCCAACAAACACAATTATTATTTAATTCTTATTAGATTCGTTACTATAGCCCTTAAACTTCAATTTGGACAATCCAATTTAAAATTCTTCAATAATTCCTACTCAAAATCGATACTTGTTAAGTGCATTATAAATTCTTCTTTTAATTCTTTGCCAAATTAATTAAAATGTCATTATACTCGAAAGCAATTAAATCTATGCAATAATGTTCCATAGTCGAAACACTTAAATTATTAATATCTATGCAATAAAGTTCCAAAGTTAATTCACTTCATAGTCATTCATCATTTATAAAGTCAAAAGTTTTACTAGTCAAAATCACTCAAGTTTTTAGGCATTAAAAGTCATTGTCAATTAACTTCTTATCATTCAGTATCATTGTTAAAAGTCAGAAAAATAATAATCACTAAAGTACTTACATTTAACTTTTCACACGTAAAATTACAGCAGGCTAACTTGAGTGACAGCCTGTGTAATAAAGGAATTCATCGTCGAAATGTCACTAGCGGCCATTTTGGGATACGAAACAGGGCCTGATTAACGATAATTTAGGTTTTTTCTTTCTTTTCACAGAGTCGTATTGGCTTTCAATAAACTAATTTGTTATTACTTACATATAAATAATATTTATAATTACTAATTTATTATTATTATTGAATATATAAGAATCATAACCGATAACACCATAAATGACAGACCAATATACTAAAATCATTTTGAAAATCATAGCTAAAAATCCGCTCTACACCGCACGCCTATGACCTCCGTCAGAAATAAATAATTAAAATAAAATTTCGGCGCTTCTGCCGTTTTATGACAGGGTTATGACAGAATGGTATCCCCTAATGGCGGCCTGCGCAGAAAAGATGCGCGGAGTTAGCCTGCTGATTGTTTTTGTATATGCTGTGCTGACACATATACTGTAGACTTTAACTCAAACTGGACTGAACTAACAACTCAACTGACAACTGCCGATTTCAATTGAAACCGCTGTATTTATATTATTCGATCCCCCCAAAATTTCTTTGTCCATCACAATTGTGAGGATGATGCAATCTCCTTTGTTATTTGTTTAAAATCGAATAATTATGTCGCAATTTCCTGATTTATAGGGATCGAAAATTTTAGTTTAAGAATGTGAGGGCAACACAAAGAAAGCCGACACACGTGTGCCATAAATCATTGATTTAATTACTATGGCTTCGCTTTTAATGTTTTTTGGAATTTAGATGATGACACAGGCTTGATGACGAAATACCTAATATAATTTTGAACGTATTTGGGGTCAACGTTAATTTGTTTCATTTTCAATATATTGATACTGATTTGAAATACAGGAAATTCAGTTTTTGATTATTTGATTACATTTAATTTTTACAGTAAAGACATTGTTAATATCGGAACTATTTTTTCGGATCATTACAATAATAATAATATGAGTACAACACAAAACATTTAGAAAAAATGGAATGGAATGATATTGAAGTTGAAGAACTAGTAAAAGCCATCAGTACAACATCGAAGTAGAAATCACCTGAAATAGATGGAATCCCAAATTATTGGCTGAAAAAGCTAACCGCATATTACGATATTCTCACACGTCTGTTCAATAACATCATCGCGGAGAAAAAAAAAAGCATACCAGACTGACTGATGAAAGGCAGAACCCACTTAATACTAAAAAACAAGGAAACGAACCGGGCTAAGAATTACTGACCGATCACCTGCCTTAACAATACATGCAAATTGCTGACTAAAATAATTTCTGAAAGACTGCATGACCATATCACACAAGATCTTTCCCAGCGAACAAAGAGGCTGTGCAAAGAACACATATGGATACAAAGATCACCTACTAACCAGTGCCACAATTCAAAAAGACTGCAAAGAAATGCGTAAAAACTTATCGATAGCCTGGATCGACTATAAAAAAGCCTTTGACAGTGTCCCACATAGCTGGTTGATAGAAGCACTGAACATCTACAAAGTGTCGCCTACGCTTCTAAAATTCATCTCGAGAGATACTCAAATCTGAATTAAGTGCAAAAAATAAAACCACAGCCATCACCTCGCTGGCAGTGCCAATCATTCAATACAGCTTCGGAGTTATTAAATGGGCAATTGCAGAATTGCACAAAATAGACAGACAGACAAGGAAACTGATGACGATGCATGGAGCTCTACCTACACCCAAGAGCAGATGTGGATCGCCTGTACGTCTCGCGCAAGGAAGGAGGAAGAGGAATGGTGAGTGTGGAAACCAGTCATGCCATAGCCATAGAAGGATTGAAGCTTTACCTTAAACTGAAACAAAAAGATAAATACCTTGGCATAGTCTATAGGCAAACTCAAAAACAACTTACAGAAGATGAAGAAGAAAACCATGAACCAACCAGCATGAACCTGAAACAGAAAAAGTGAAAAAGTTTAAACAACAATTGAAAGGAAACAAGAAATAAGACCGAATAAGGAAGTGGACAGAAAAGGCGATTCACGGCCAAATAGTGAAAGAAGTTAGCAAAGAAATGATAAACAAGGAACTATCTTGGAAGTGGCTTACACATATGATTCATAGACCTGAAAGCAGAAACAGAAACTCTTGTAACAGCGTGCCAGGAGCAGGCACTTGCACCAAACTACATGCAGACAAGGATCATGAAGACCGGCGAAGACCCGAAATGTAGACTCTGTCGGGCCTATAGTGAGACTGTCCATCATGTGGTAGCTTGATGCCCAATCTTGGCAAAAAGTGCTTATCTTGAACGTCATAACAAGGTTGCAACACAGCTACACTGGAACATCTGTAAGCACTACAAATAAGAAATTAAAAAAAAAAAATGGTTTGAACATATCCCGGAAGCAGTTCTAGATACACCAGAAATAACTATACTATGGGTCGTTCAAGTGCAGGCTGACAGACACATATCATCAAATAAACCAGACATCATATCATAACATCACGCACAAGAAGCAGAGAAAAAGTTGAAGTACAAGGACCTGCAAATAGAAATACAGCGAATGTGGAATTATAAAACTAAGATCATACCAATAATCATAGGAGCAACAGGGCTGATATCCAACGTTACTTGTGAAGCAATAAAAGAAATCCCTGGAACACATAACCTCCTGTTGATGCAGAAAGCTGTGGTGTTGAGTACAGCGCACATAGTACGCAAAGTGCTATGATCCTTAAGTCATTTAAACAAGGGAGCACCCCAGGTGCATGGTTTGCCCTTGGTGATTCCCCAAGAACGAAACCATAACCCAAGAGTAGTTATGTGATGCAAAGCCAAATAATAATAATAATTCTATCTTGGGAAACAAACACCATTCCACCAATATATTCCTCAATTCAGACAATAGACTCTGGGAAGACTTGGTAAGAGCCCATCATCTCAGAAACACCACTTTACTCCTGATGTCACAATCATTTGGGATACACCAGGTACAGACCGATAAACCTATCAAAGCCAATATTTTACAGAGTCCTAACCCTGGGTCAGGCTCTAGCCAGTCGTCCCTTGCAGGAATGACTAACTTGTATGGTTTAGTGGGGGCTGAGGCTTTTGGTATTTCATCCCTACTGGCGAAGATAGTATCAGTCCAAGCCCTTGCATGTCCCATGTTCAGCTTAAACAATATCCTTTCATAAGTTGTTTGAAAATTTGGTTATCCATTTTGCTCCAGAAGTTGGTAAAGGCGACATCGGCTCATTTAATCAATTTCAAACAATTCTCTAGCGATTAATTTTTTGCTGCTAACCATCGCTATACAAGTTTATAAAATCAAAACCTTTTTTTTGTAATAAATCCCTGGATTACATCATCCCTTCGCCGCTCCGCCAATCAGCATTTTCCAATTAATAAGCAATTTGATGGGAATTAGAACTGCCTATTACTTCTTCTGCTGGACCGTTGTAGCTGATGGGGGTAGAGGAATTAGAGTGAAGCGGGGAATTGTAATCACTAATCAATAAAGGGACGTTCTGTCGATTAACTCCGAAATAGACTCAAGCTAAAACGCAGATGAATTAGAAATAGACTAAGACAAGTGTTTTTTTTTTTCAGATGGAGATGAGAGGCAAGATTTCTATATTGGAAGAGACATGGGAAATATATTATTAGCCCATAAGTTAGACTATGAACTACAAAAGGAATATAGTCTTAATATTAGTGTTACTGATACTGTCAATACAGTGTACACACAACTTAATATTACTGTTATTGATATAAATGATCACAGGTAATAAATATTCATGATAATAAAGTCCAACATAAATATATTATTAAATTTCCCAGGCCTGAATTTTCGGAGCAGCTCTATAAAGTGGAAATTTCCGAAGCAGTCCCAGTAGAAACCGAAATTTTCAAACTACGTGCCACCGACAAAGATGCAAACGATAAGCTGATATTCAGTTTTTACTCTGCCGAAAATGTTCTTTCTTTGAAAACTTTTAAGCTGGATTCTATTACAGGTAAGCTAAACACTAAATTATTGCTGCAAAATACTTCTTCTTGAAATCACTTGGCATTGTGCAAAAGTGGAAACACTTAAACTAGACGATAATCAAAATTATATGGTCAATAAGTCCTCTGTTTTGTTTTGGTTTTATTGCGTCTCAGGCTGGAGAATAACAGGGGGATTTACGAGAGTGTAGTTGTTTTAATAGGGTTGTTACAAACACTTAGGAACTGCGGATTTTTAATGGCATTTTTATATATTTCAGGAGTTATTTCTCTAGCTGCTAATTTGGACAGAGAAACTCTTAGCGAGCACATTCTCACTGTCATGGTACGAGATTCCGGTACTCCAGCCAAGAAAAATTTTGCCAGAGTTCACGTAATCGTTCACGATCACAACGATAATACTCCACATTTTTCTGATAAAATTCTTGTAAGTTTTAGTCATTTATAGTAGATTTTTGAAACTAACTATATTCATTTTAGGTTGGTAAAGTGTTTGAAACTGCTTCAGTTGGTAGCGTGGTTCTTAAAGCCTTGGCAGTGGATCATGATAAAGGCGAAAACGCTAGAATCACTTACTCGATTATGTCAGGAAATGTTGGCAACGTGTTCAATATACATCCAGATCTTGGTAAGGTTTAACTACATGAATATTATTATACCAAATACAAATTAATTCTTGTAGGAACAATAAGTATAGCAAGAGAATTGGACCTCACAAGTGCCTCAGAATATACTCTACATATTAGAGCTACAGATCATGGTCAACCTCCTTTATGGTCTACAGTGCCAGCGCATATTTCCTTAACTATGGCTGATAATGCGCCACCAAAGTAAGAATTATATTTTTCTTGTATGGGACTTTATATTTACTGTTTCATTATGTTTTCAGATTTGTAAATAAAGAAATAGCAGCCGAAATCTACGAAGACCAACCGCTAGGCAGCTATGTGGCACATTTAGATGTAAGAAGTACATCGTCTCTACAATTTGAAATTCTAGAAGGCAATAGTGACGGTAGTTTTATTATAAGCCCCAGTACCGGAGTGATAACAACTCAAAAGTACTTGGATTATGAGACCAATAAGTTCTACAATTTATCTGTGATAGCCATTAACATGGTAAGTTACCTATAATATAAACTCTCTATTCCACTATTTCTCTTGTTATAATCTAGGCCTCTGTTTCGGCAACTTGCAACGTCATTATCCACATTTTGGATAAAAACGACAACGCTCCCCAGTTTCTGCAACTTCAATACCACGGAGTTATCAGTGAAGCGGCTCCAGTTTCATCGTTGGTGCTGACCAACAGCAGCGAACCTTTAGTAATCAAGGCTTTCGATGCCGACAGCGAACGCAATGCTCGTTTACATTTTGACATAATCGAAATACTGCCGAGAAGATATTTTCAGATTGACCCTAGTACTGGTGCTATTAGGACAATAAGACTGTTGGATTACGAAACGTTGTCTAGTTTTGAATTTTATGTACAGGTACAGACTTTTAGTCCAAATTTTGTCAAAAACTTCAAACTCAATTTGCTCAAAAACTAGAAATCTGGAAATATTCTAAATTACAGGCCATTTAGAACGTGATAAAAGCTACAAATTCTGGAAATTTTAATGCAATTTGCTCAACGGTTACCGAGCAATTGAGGTTTGAATATTTTGAAATCAGAATTCAAAGGGGGTACCCTTATGAAAAATTCGATTTTTTAATTTTTCAGTTTTGCTCAATTTTGACTTTATGAATCGATAGAGCGGGTCAAAATTAGTGGAAAACAATCCTGATATCAATTCCAAATGGTCATTTTAAGCAGACACAAAAATAAAAAGAAAATCCTATTTTTGGCTCTGGAAAATTTTCAAAATCCTGACATGGTCATAAACAATTGCCCATATCTTTGGTAAATTTCAAGCAAATTGAAATAAATTATACATCATTGGAAAGGGCTTTAAATTCTCTATAAATCTGTGCAAAATTGAGTTCGATACCTCGGATAGTTTTTGAGCAATTGAGCCTCAAAGTTGACTTTTAGTCCAAATTTTGTCAAAAACTTCAAACTCAATTTGCTCAAAAACTAGAAATCTGGAAATATTGTAAATTACAGGCCATTTAGAACGTGATAAAAGCTACAAATTCTGGAAATTTTAATGCAATTTGCTCAACGGTTACCGAGCAATTGAGGTTTGAATATTTTGAAATCAGAATTCAAAAGAGGTACCCTTATGAAAAATTCGATTTTTTAATTTTTCAGTTTTGCTCAATTTTGACTTTATGAATCGATAGAGCGGGTCAAAATTAGTGGAAAACAATCCTGATATCAATTCCAAATGGTCATTTTAAGCAGACACAAAAATAAAAAGAAAATCCTATTTTTGGCTCTGGAAAATTTTCAAAATCCTGACATGGTCATAAACAATTGCCCATATCTTTGGTAAATTTCAAGCAAATTGAAATAAATTATACATCATTGGAAAGAGCCCTAAATTCTCTATAAATCTGTGCAAAATTGAGTCCGATAGCTTGGATAGTTTTTGAGCAATTGAGCCTCAAAGTTGACTTTTAGTCCAAATTTTGTCAAAACATTCAAATTCATTTTGCTCAGAAACTAGAAATCTGGAAATATTGTAAATTATAGGCCATTTAAAACTTGAAAGCTACACAAATTCTGGAAATTTTAATGCAATTTGCTCAACGGTTACCGAGCAATTGAGGTTTGAATATTTTGAAATCAGAATTCAACTCTTATGAAAAATTCGATTTTTTAATTTTTAAGTTTTGCTCAATTTTGACTCTATAAATCTATAGAGCGGGTCAAAATTAGTGGAAAACAACCCTGATATCAATTCCAACTGGCCATTTTAAGCAGACACAAAAATAAAAAGAAAATCCTATTTTTGGCTCTGGAAATTTCCAAAATCCTGACATGGTCATAAACAATTGCCCATATCTTTGGTAAATTTTGAGCAAATTCAAATAAATTATACATCATTGGAAAGGGCTTTAAATTCTCTATAAATCTGTGCAAAATTGAGTTCCATACCTCGGATAGTTTTTGAGCAATTGAGCCTCAAAGTTGACTTTTAGTCCAAATTTTGTTAAAAACTTCAAACCCAATTTGCTCAAAAACTAGAAATCTGGAAATATTGTAAATTATAGGCCATTTAGAACTTGATAAAAGCTACAAATTCTGGAAATTTTAATGCAATTTTCTCAACGGTTACCGAACAATTGAGGTTTGAATATTTTGAAATCAGAATTCAAAGGGGGTACCCTTATGAAAAATTCGATTTTTTAATTTTTTGGTTTTGCTTAATTTTGACTTTATAAATCGATAGAGCGGGTCAAAATTAATGGAAAACAACCCTGATATCAATTCCAAATAGCCATTTTAGGCAGACACAAAAATAAAAAGAAAATCCTATTTTTGGCTCTGGAAAATTTTCAAAATCCTGACATGGTCATAAACAATTGCCCATATCTTTGGTAAATTTTGAGCAAATTCAAATAAATTATACATCATTGGAAAGGGCTTTAAATTCTCTATAAATCTGTGCAAAATTGAGTTCGATACCTCGGATAGTTTTTGAGCAATTGAGCCTCAAAGTTGACTTTTAGTCCAAATTTTGTTAAAAACTTCAAACTCAATTTGCTCAAAAACTAGAAATCTGGAAATATTGTAAATTATAGGCCATTTAGAACTTGATAAAAGCTACAAATTCTGGAAATTTTAATGCAATTTTCTCAACGGTTACCGAGCAATTGAGGTTTGAATATTTTGAAATCAGAATTCAAAAGAGGTACCCTTATGAAAAATTCGATTTTTTAATTTTTAAGTTTTGCTCAATTTTGACTCTATAAATCTATAGAGCGGGTCAAAATTAGTGGAAAACAACCCTGATATCAATTCCAAATGGCCATTTCAAGCAGACACAAAAATAAAAAGAAAATCCTATTTTTGGCTCTAGAAAATTTTCAAAATTCTGACATGTTCATAAACAATTGCCCATATCTTTGATAAATTTTGAGCAAATTGAAATAAATTATACATCATTGAAAAGGGCCTTAGATTCTCTATAAATCTGTGTAAAATTGAGTTCGATAGCTCGGATAGTTTTTGAGAAATTGAGCCTCAAAGTTGACTTTTAGTCCAAATTTTGTCAAAAACTTCTGTGCAAAGTTTCACCTTGTAACCCCGATGCGCCCACAAAACTCATTTTTAAAATGCTTTAACTGCGTTGGGCACTCTACTACACTGGATTCAAAATATTACTTTTCTTTGCTACAGGTATCAGATTTGGGTAAACCTAAGCTGTTTTCCGACACTACAGCCAAAGTTGACATAAAAGTAACTGACGTCAACGACTGTCCTCCATTGTTTTCCAGTCCCTACTACAACGTCACTCTACTTCTACCCTCCTACAAGAATGTAGCCGTTATCCAAGTGAATGCTTCTGATCCTGACTCATTAGAAGGAGAATATTTAAAGTATGACATTATCGAAGGCAACAAGTTGGGTGCTTTCAAAATCGACTCTCAAACCGGGGTGATTACTCTACTAGATCCAGAAAACCTCAAGCCGTCAGCATCTTACAAACTTCATGTCCGCGTATCAGATGGAAAATTTTCCAACGTTGCCAAAGTCTATATTCGTGTAGACGAATCTGACAATAGCGGCCTGGTATTCCAAAAATCATTCTATGAAGGTAGTATTGTAGAAAACTCTACAAAAATCACTACGGTTTGCGTGGTAAATGTCTTGGGTAGTGCCTTAAACGAGCATATAGAGTTCAAAATTTTAAATCCCACTGACATGTTTGCTATTGGGCCAACTTCAGGTGTTATAAGGACTACTGGCGCAAAGTTCGATAGAGAAATAAAAGAAAAATATCAGTTAATTGTGGAGGCGAGAAGTAACATGCCTTACAGGGATCGACCTAGAGTCACTCACGTTATTGTTAACGTCACAGTATTGGACATCAACGATAATTGTCCAATGTTTGTAAATTTGCCATATTATGCTGTAGTGTCTGTGGATGACGAAAAAGGATCTGTGATAACAAAAGTCCACGCTATAGACTTGGATAGCTCTGAAAACGGTGAAGTAAGATACGAACTTATTAGAGGCCATGGGGAGCTATTCAAAGTCCAAAGAGAATCGGGGGATATTGAAATTAAACAAAACTTGGAAGGACATAATAGGGAGTATGAGTTGCTAATAGCTGCCTATGATAAAGGTATCTATCATTGGATTAGTATGTATATGTGTTAATTAAAACAATACTTTTCAGGTATTACTCCATGTAGGACGGACGTGACAGTCCATATTAAGGTCATAGACCGTTCAATGCCGGTGTTCAAAAAACAATTTTACACAGAAACGGTGCCAGAGAACGTCGAGTTGCACTCGCCATTGTCCATTTCCATTGAGGCGGAATCTCCATTGTCCAGAAAGCTTATTTATAGCATCGTGCGCGGTAACGAGCTGGAAGAATTTGCCCTGGATTTCAATACTGGTAAGTCGAAGGAATGTTTTTTATTTGTATTATTTTTGAGTTCAATATTAGTAAAGTTTTATTATTTAGTTACGTCATCTCGTGCCCTAAAAATGGCCAAAACTAAAAACCACCGGAACATTAGAGAGTTTCTTAAAAAATATATGTTCACTCGACAAGGTATTCTGGTTTTGAGGTGTGAGAGTTTTCCCCGATTTTAGATTTTTTTGTTTTAGATTACGATTTTAATTTTATTAATCACTTTGGTGGTGGATTTTTTCTGAATTTTTTAACAGAATAACGGCACGTTTTGAACTATAATTATATTGCAATCGGAAGCTGTTAAAAATGTCTTGGAGATCAAGCATGAAGGCTGATTTATACTGTTCGGCATGTTGAAACCGTCATTGTTATCTGTTTTCATCTACATATGCATGAATGCATTATATGTCATCTTTTTCCATGAAATCACAGGATTAAACTGGCCCATCAAGGACGTAGGTATTTGTGGTTGTCCACGAATTAGTCTACAAGTTTGGAATCGAATATTTGAAGAATTAAATATTTAATATTTTTCGTGGAAGAATTTTCAAATCTTTCGTTCTAAAATCTTGAGTTTTTCAAACTTTCAGAACATCTAGTGTTTTTAGCCTTGAGACACTTCGAAGTTTGCAAGATGTTCCCCAGCCTTTGGAATCTTTAGATATTTCATGTTTCCAGAATCTTATGGAAAATACATCTGCTGACCTTCAGGATTTTTAATATTATCTTCACAGTCTTGACTCTTCAGTCATGAGCGTTGAGAACCTTGGAGATCTTTAAGGTCTTTGGAGTCTTTGGGGCCTTTGAAGGATTTCAAGAGCCTTTGGCTCAAGGGGTAAACCACCTAGGAATTCTTTGCCAAAAATGTGGGGAAGTTAGAGGAATTTGTGAGGTATTTAGAGGAATTTGTGGGGAATTTGAAGGAACTCATCAGAACTTATGAGAATTTGGGGAATTTATAGGGAATTTGGAAGAATTTCTGAGGAATTTATGAGGAATTTAAAGGAAATTGTAGGGTAATGACATCACTGAGGTTCACATTCTTATTATAAGAAATAGTAATAAATGGAAAGTTAAAAAAAATCTAGTTTTGTGTTAGACGTTGGACATTCATTTTTATCAAAGAAATTCTCCCAAAATTTCACTTCATAATTTACAGGTCAAAATTTAAAAACTTCAAAAGAATAATGAATTCAGTTTTTGTAAGCTCATTCCAAGATTTTTCATGTTGTTATTTTCCCCTGGAAAAATTTGAAATTTTGCGAAAATGATGATCTTCTCACCTTCCTCTTCACATGAAAAAAGTTTCAAAATTTTCCCTTCACTAGTTTTCCAGGAAAACTTTGAAATATGTGGAGACTATATTTTTAATTAATTCAGTTATTGTATGTTGATTTCCAAGATTCCTCATGTAATTTTCTACTGGAAAAATTTGAAATTTTGGTAAAATAAGCTTCTAACCTTCCACTTCACGTGTAAAAAGTTTCAAATTTTTCCGTTCACTAGTTTTCCAGGGAAACTTCGAAATGTGTGAGAGTGTATTCTCAATTAATTCAGTTATTGTAGGTGGATTTCTAAGATTCCTCATGTTGTAATTGTCTACTGGAAAAATTTTAAATTTTGGGAAAATGAGCCTTTCTACTCTTCACATGCAAAAAGTTTCAAATTTCTCCCTTCACTAGTTTTCCAGGAAAACTTTGAAATGTGTGAGACTGTATTTTCAATTAATTTAGTTTTTGAAAGTTGATTTCCAAGATTTTTCATATTGTTATTTTCCCCTGGGCAAATTGAAAATTTTGGGAAAATGAGCTTCTTCCCTTCCTCTTTACATGCAAAAAGTTTCAAAATTTTTCCTTCTCTAGTTTTCCAGGAAAACTTTGAAATGTGTGCGACTGTATTTTCAATTAATTCAGTTATTGTAGGTTGATTTCCAAGATTCTTCATGTTGTTATTTTCCACTGAACAATTTGAAATTTTGGAAAAATGAGCCTTTGACGTTCTTCTTCATATGCAAAAAGTTTCCAAAATTTTCCCTTTATTAGTTTTCCAGGAAAACTTTGATTTGTGTGAGATTGTATTAACAATTATTTCAGTTTTTGTAAGTTGATTTCCAAGATTTTTCATGTTATTTTTCACTGGAAAATTTTGAAATTTTGGAAAAATGAGCTTCTCCCTTTCCTCTTTACATGCAAAAAGTTTCAAAACTTTTCCTTCTCTAGTTTTCCAGGAAAACTTTGAATTGTCTGAGACAGTATATGTGGGGTATCTAGAGAAATTTGTGGTGGGGTATTTGGAGGAATTTGTAATGGGGTATCTGGAGGAATGTGTAGGGAATTTGGAGGAATTTGCAGGAATTTTGAGGAATTATACGTAAAAAATTCCCCTTTGAGGAATTGTTTGCACAAATTCTGAGTCTTGGGAAATGTCTTCAATGCGTCTACTTTGTGTCCTCGGAACTTCAAGCTTGGAGAGTATTTCAATCTTAAAAACCTTGAAAATTTTAAATATCCTCACAGTATTTGGAGCCTTAAAGGCTTCAAATGAAAAGCTTAAAGATCCTTGAAATTTTATTTCAACCCTAAAATCTTCCGAAGTTTTGAATCAGTAGAATCTTTGCATTCTGAAATTTTGGGAATGAGTCTCCGGAGCCTTTAGAATTGACGGGCTTTTAGGATACATAGATTTCTTAATTTGAAATCAAGAGCCTTCAAGATCTTCAAAGGTCGTCTTAAAATATTCAAATTTTTCAATATCTTCGCAGTATTTGGAGACTTAAAGGCTTTGAATTCAAAAGCTTAGGATTCCTTGGAATCTTATTTCAACCTTAAAATCTTCCGAGGTCTTGAATCAGTAGAATCTTTTGCAGTCTACATTCTGAAATTTTGGAAATGAGTCTACAGAGCCTTTAGAATTTTTTATTCACGGGTTTTTAGGATACATAGATTCCTTAATCTGAAATCATGAGCCTTCAAGATCTTCAAACGTCTTCTTAGAATCTTGAAAAGTCTTCAGAACTTCTAGAACGTCTAGTGTCTTACACCTGAAGGGATTGAGAAACTTGTGAAGTCTTCAATATGTTCCCAACCCTTTAGAATCTTAAGATATTTTATGTTATTAGAATCTCTCATAATAAAAAATTTATCCGCACGCCTTTGAGATCTTTATAATCCTCAATATTGTCTTTACAATTTTTTAGACTTTTCAATCATGAGAACCTTGGAGATCTTTAAGATCTTTGGAGCCTTCAAAAGATTTAAATCAAGAACCTTTGACTTAATTTGGCTTTAGAGGTTTCAAATGAGTCTTTATTGCCTCCAGAATCAGCGTTGTGTCCTCTGAACTTCAACCTTCAAGAGTATTTGAGTCTTAAAATATTGAGAACCTTCTAATTTTTTTAATATCTTCGCATTATTTGGAGCCTTCAGGCTTCAAATCAGAAGCTTACGAATCCTCGACATTTTATTTCAACCCTAAAATCTTCCGAGGTCAATCAGTAGAATCTTTGAATCTTTGCAGTCTACAATCTGAAATTTTTGAAATGATCGAGTCTCCGGAGCCTTCAGAATTGACGGGCTTTTAGGATGCATAAATTCCTTAATCTGAAATCATGAGCCTTCAAGATCTTCAAACGTCTTCTTACTAAAACGATAAAATTTAAAAAAAAAAAAAATTGTTGAGATTTTGTATCCTAATGGTCAATTAACATCCCCCAAACTCTATACACTAAATTATTCTCAGATTTGAAGCCGAAATCTATGGAAAAAGGCGGTCAGAAAAATTGAAAAATTGATAAATCGCCCCAAATTGCTTAACACGATTTTATCTCAGGAACTATAAGTGCAAATGAGCTGAAATTTTCAGGGATTGTAGTCCCTTTATTGAGATAAATTTCAGTGAAAATTTCAGCTTTCTATCTATAATAGAAAAAAAGTTATGCCATTCCAAAGTTTTCCAAAATCTAAATCATAAGCTTCTTACTAAAACGATAAAATTTAATTTTTTTTTTTGTTGAGATTTTGTGTTTTAATGGTTTTCTGGGACCCTCTAAACTCCATCCACTAAATTATTCTGAGATTTGGAGGCAGATTCTACGAAAAAATACACTCAGAAAAATTGAAAAATTGATAAATCACCACAAATTGCTTAACACGATTTTATCTCAGGAACTATAAGTGCAAATGAGCTGAAATTTTCAGGGATTGTAGTGGAAAATTCAACTGCAGGCCTTTTTAAGATCTTTATAATTCTCAATATTGTCTTCACAATCTTGGAGATCTCTAAGGTCTTTGGAGTCTTTAAAAGATTTGAATCAAGAGCTTTCGACTTAATTTGGCATCAGAGGTTTCAAATGAGTCTTTAATGCCTCCAGAATCAACGTTGTGTCCTCAGAACTTCAAGCTTGAAGAGTATTTGAGTCTTAAAGTATTGAGAACCTTCAAATGTTTTAACATCTTCGCAGTATTTGGAACTTTAAAGGCTTCAAATGAAATCCTCAAGAATCCTTGAAATTTTATTTCAACCTTAAAATCTTTCAAGGAGTCTATGTTCTGAAACTTTTAAAATGAGTTTCCGGAGCCCTTAGAATCTTTAAAGCTTTTTAGTGGCGGGGTTTAAAGAACTTTCTTCTTCAGTCTGAATTCATGAGCCTTCAAAATCCACAAGATCTTCAAAGGTCTTATAATCTTTTAAGTCTTTGGACTTTGATAGAATCATCAAAATCGCAAGATATTCAAAAGTTTTAAACAATAATTTTAAGCCATAATATGGAGCCTCGAATTCAGGATTTTTGGAATTTTCAGTATAAAATTTTTGATTTCGATAAACGATAATAATAAAACTACTTCAAACAACAAATCCCAATAAATCCCAAAGCAAAAAGGACGCGTTCTTTAAAAACTCCCATTGTTTCCGACTTATAAAAGAAGGGAATTGGACAAATTGGATTTCCTATTTATCGGCCTTCTTCGCGTTTGATCTCGGCCGATTAATTAAAAGCCAAACATTTTTAGCAGCTTCGACGATTTTAATTACTAAAAGTACAGAGATTCCCTTCACTTTTTCAATTTAAAAACACTCCCCCTAATTTGTCTTAGACAGCTTTGTTTTGATAGAGAAAAAAAATTGATGTAAATATAATAATATTTTACACAAAATCAAGTCCTTATAACCTTTCAAATTATTGATAAAATCCCCTTATTTTTCGCAGCTCCAGACAGTAACAATGGGCCTTGTGAGTATTAGCCTTTAATTTTGTGTGTATAAGCTTCAAGCTTTTTAGTTTGGATTTTAGAAAGCTGGATGTCGGCTTTTTTTTGTACATACATATATTTTACACGGGCGTAAATCAATGTATATTAATTTTGATACGCCTATGTAAGATTTCTTTCTTTTTAACCATTAACAACCGCATCGTTGCTTTTTCCTTTCTAACATCTTGACAGCATGTTTCTCTTTTTTTTTGGTAACTCTATCTAGTAATTTGATAAAACTTTTCTTTGGAAGTAGTTGTAGAGTTTTAAACAAAGTAAGACATCTTTTGTAGAAAGTTTTGAAGTTTGGTGAGAATTTAGTTATATAAGAGGATGGTATTGTATTTATTTATCTGTGTATGGCTTAATGTATAACAACGAGAAAACTTGAAATATTCATATAAAAAATGTCACTAATTATATTTTGCACTGTATATAAAACAATATATTATATGTATAATCTATTCACAATCCGAAGACCAAAGGTAAAGGTAGATTTATCACCTTTCAGTTGGTAGTTGATACGGATTTTATTTTATTTATTACCTGTATAAGTTGGTCTTTGGAAGGTTACGCATGTGTCATATTTTGATGACATACTGAAAAATAGCAGAGCAGGACTAAAGCATATTTTTATATTTTGAACAAAAAATATGTCATTGACGAGGTTTTAGTAGATGTAACAAAACGGCCTAAAAATCCTTTTTTTTTTTTTGCTTCGTAATACAATTAATTGGCTTTTTTACCCAGCTAGCTTAAGTCGCTAAATTTCTGACGAAACCGTGTCAAGAGCCAAGGGTTATCAGTCGGTTTTCGAAAGAGTGTGATGACTGTGTCTTAAAACACGACTCTTGACTCCTGGTATTTCCTGTAATTTCCTTGACCGGTGTAGTAGGGGTGCTACATTTTTAATAAGTACCATATATGTCCTACTCGAAGTCAAGTTTCTTAGCTTTCAGCAGGTGTTTCTGTTGCTGATTTTCAGCAGTTAGTCGGAGTGTTTGCTGTACTGTTTCATAGGAAATTTGAAGTCTTTTAATCAGTTCTGCTGCGTAGTTATCAACAACGTCATAACGGTCTCTGGTTGATTTAAGAAAGTCTTCGCATGGAATTAACATATCTCTCCCGTGAAGCAAAAAGTATGGTGGAACTATGGATCATATTCATATATGCCATCGTCACGTAGACGAGCCAGGTATCCCAATCTTTTTGATCATGGCTTATGAAATGAGAAAGGATGTCTTTTCGTATTCTATGGGTTCTTTCAATCATCCCACCGCTGCCACCATTTTTGTTACCACCGCCACCTGATTGTGACGGTTGGGTAAGGGAGACTTTGTTTTAGCACTGGTAAAGGCCTTTTTCGTTCTGCGGTAGCGTGCCACCAGGGACTTTGTTTAAAATCCCACTAAAAATCTAGGTAACTTTGAACGGATACTTTTTAGCAATATAATTAGATCGCCTCTTCCAGTGCGGGTTCTTGCTACCTGAGCTGTACGCAGGAAAAGAATCAGTTTTTATTACTAATAGTCCAGGAGGCAGTGAAATTTTTTAGCACTTACTTTCCCAGTTGGTATCTATCCAATAGTTTGTTCTCCTGGTGATACAATACAAGAATTTTTGAGTCTGGCTAAAATTTTTGGATGGGTTCACAAGATCACTGAAAAATACAAGTACGCTTATTTTCCCAGACATAAATATTTCACATTTACTACAATAGAACATAAAGTATATGAAAATAGCAATTTGGCTTATCTCAGATAGTGGAAGTGAGTCTGACTGAAAATTTTCGGGTCTTCAATTTTTCACTTGCCAGACATATTATCCATACTCACGGATTAGCCGGACTATTTTTTTTACGTAACTTCAGTATACTTCTCATTAGTAGACCTATTTTTATCACTGAGAAAAAAAGGGTCGTCCATTCGTAAGCTTTAACCCATTTTGCGCTTCAACCCATCGGAAAACCCCCCCTAAAAATATATGTATTTTGCTTAGAATTACTAACCCTACAATCCTATCCATGTTATCTGACTGGGAAAATAAGTACCGAAAATCGTCACTGCCTCCTAGACTATAAACTTTATTGAACAACTGGTGAAACTTGGTAAGGAAATGAAAGAAAAGCAAAGAATGTACCGGGTGTCCAAATAAGAAAGGTCGCCGGCTATATCTCAGGAACTATTAGTCCTAGAGCTTCCAAGTAATTTTTTTTTATAAAATAGGCCATGAAAAATTGCTGGAAATAGTTTTCAAGTTTGTAAGTTGACCGCTAGGGGGCGCAACGAACACTCAAAAACATAATACTGTGATTATCTTCAAAAAAACGCTCACTTAAGGTATCCCAAAAATATGATTATTGAAATCTTGATGAGATCGGCTATTTGATTACCTCCGAGCACCTAACAGGACTTTTGCAGCGTGTAATGTATTAAACTTTTCATCCTTTCCCCTCAAAAATCGCGAATAGGTATGCGAAAGTGAAACATGCTAGTAGCGAAAGTGAAAGTAACTACTAGCATGTTTCATTTTCGCTTTCGCTCGCTTATGCAAGATAAAAAAATCCACTTTTGTAGGGGGGAGAATGAAAAGGGCTTTTGTAGCGTGTAACGTATTAAACTTTTTATTGTTCCCCTCAGGAATAGTATATTACATATCGAGGGTGGAAAGTGTTTTATAACTATCGAAAGATTTCACAAAAGGTCAAACCGAGGCGCAGCCCAGGTTCAGTCATAGAATATGGTTTAATTAAAATCTCGAGACAGTAATGAAACTTTTAACCAAGGTTGTATACTATTTTATTTACAATCATTCGAATTTTGTAATTTTTATTTCAATGAAAACTAGAAAAATACAATAAATTTCAACAATTTCACTTACTTTCAGCCCACGGGAGAAAAGTAAACTTTCAACCCATGGGTGAAAAGTGAAAGTCAAAAAGTGACATTTTCAAAAGTCAGAAAAATTAACCTTACATGTATGATTGTAAATAATAGTATATTACATGCGGAGGTGGAAAGTGTTTTATTATTGTCGAGAGATACTATGGTTTGACCGAGGTCACTTAATTCTCGAGACAATAATGTGAAAATGTTCCACCAAATTATGTATACCTATTCTATTTTGAACCATTAATTATTGGAAAAAATAGGGTAAAAATATGACAAAAATTGAATTTTCGAATGACAGTCTGTCGCCGACATTGGCATCTTATGAATTTTCAACAATATAAACACATGTGACATCTACTTCTAAATACAAACATTGCACCTGGATTTGTGTTAAGGTGAGATAGAACAATTTATCAGGGCCGGAAGTGAGTTCTGCAGGCCGAAAGTGACAGGAGAACAGTCACTTCCGGCCTGCTTTAAAGTAAACAGAAGTAAAATGACATTTTCAAATCTCCAAACCAGTAAGGAATGCATTAATTACATATATGGTTCAAAATAACATGTTTTTTTATCTTGAATAGTTTAGCGAAAGTGAAAGTAATGACTAGCTTGTTTGACTTTCGCGTTCGCTTGCCTATTCTAGATAAAAAAATGTCTTCCTGAGGAGAACAATGAAAAGTTTGATACATTACACGCTGCGCTGCAAAAGCCGTTTTAGGTGCTCGGAGTACGCACCTAAAAGTAAGCTTTCGCAGCTTGAAATGTAAATATGTAACTATTTAGGTGTTCGGAGGTATTAAATACACCTCGCACCTAAAAGTAGGCTTTCGCAGCTTGAAATGTAAATATGTAACTATCTAGGTGTTCGGAGGTATTAAATACACCTCGCACCTAAAAGTAAGCTTTCGCAGCTTGGAATGTAAATAACTATAGTTCAATTCAATTTCAATTCTTGATATCGTGCATTGGTAGCTACTTTCAGACACAATTAGTTCTTCTTCTTACTAATTTTATAGCGCCGTAAAAAAATAAGATTTTTTTTTGTTTCATCCCGAAAAGGAAGGCAAGATTGGTTTTTTTTTTGAAAATGTTTTTATTGAAAATATTTGTTTATTTATATTTTGGGCTAAGATAAAGATTCAGACTTGCGGTTTTCACCAGTTTCCTTATTTTTTCATCCTTTTTCCATCTAAATTATAAAAAAAGCATCATTATATTTGAAATTTCCAAGAAAAAATGGAAAATTGTCGACTTTTAGACACAGCGCCCCCTAGCGGCAACAAAACAATTCAATTTTGTCATTTTTATTATGCATTTCATTAAACAGAAAAAAACTCTTCCAAATGACACCAGATTCATTTAAATCGGTTGGAAAACAAAAAAGTTATATAACTTTTGTTCCTGACAAGTTTGAACCTTCCCCCACCTCTTATTTGAAGAGTTAGAGCAAAAAATCCTTAACAAAATTTTTTCGTAATCTCATCAATATTTCAATAATCATATTTTTAGGATACCTTAAGTAGGCGTTTTTTGAAGATAATCACAGTATTATGTTTCCGAGTGTTCGTTGCGCCCCCTAGCGGTCAACTTACAAACTTGAAAACTATTTCCAGCAATTTTTCATGGCCTATTTTATCAAAAACATTTTTAGTTGGAAGCTCTAGGACTAATAGTTCCTGAGATATAGCCGGCGACCTTTCTTATTTGGACACCCGGTACAGTAAGTTATTAACAAGTTATACTGAAATCAAATGAAAGAAATTACATACAGAGCTTTTGGAATGATAAGGAGTGAAATTAATGAGCGTCCTGTATAGGGCGTTCTTTGATGGTACAAGTTACATGAGAAATTAGGAAATAAAAGATACAGAAAATAAAGACTAGGTTATAATTCTTAGTGGGTAAAAAAGTTAAAGGCGTCCTTGACAAGGGAATGACAAAACGGCCTTGTTATTCAGGGTAAGATACATGTTGAAAAAGGGATTTGAGTTGTGAAGCTAACCAACGGTTTTGTTCTTTACACAGGGGAGAAAATAAATAATAGACAGAAAACAACAATCATGATGAATAAAGTAAAAATACTTGAAACTGAAACATTACCTAAGGTCTCGGAAAGAGAATCAGCAGAGAGACGTCAACACTAAACACCAGAACTTCCTCACAAAACTGAATGAATTTAGGAGGCTCACAGGCCTATTTATATTGGCAGCTTGATGACGCTTTTGTGAGTCTTATCGGTCACACAATTTGGGATTTTCTCAAGGAACCAGGAATCAACAGTCGCGTTTTATGACATAGTCATCACACTCTTTCGGAAACCGACTGATAACCCTTGGCTCTTGACACGGTTTCGTCAGAAAATGACCGACTTAATCTAGCTGGGTAAAAAAGACAATTAATTGTATTACGAACCAAAGAAAAACTCTAAATAACTCTAGCCCTTCGGGCTCGCTTATAACTCCGGCCCTTCGGGCTCGCGTATAACTCCGGCTCTTCGGGCTCATATTACTGAGTATCCCAGATTCACAGATTTTTGTCGTGGAGGCGCGGGATTGATTGAAATAATGTTGTCAGACTTTTCAAATTTTGATATTTCAATTTGTGAATTATTATTTTAATTAGGAATCAGGAATAAAAAACTGAGATTGAATTTTCGATTTTTTGGGGGAAGCAAGCCTCCCCTGCCTCCTGTGACGAGCCGCCACTGACTCGAACTTCATTACAGAACTCAATGAATCTAGGAGACTCACAGGGCTATTTATATTAGCAGCTTGATGACGCTTTTGGGAGTTTTATCGGTCGCACAACTTGCGATTTTTTCAAGGAACCAGGGGTCAAGAGTCATGTTTTAAGACACAGTCATCACACTCTTTCGGAAACCGACTGATAACCCTTGGCTCTTGACACGGTTTCGTCAGAAATTTAGCAACTTAATCTAGCTGGGTAAAAAAGACAATTACAGTGAAGCTTCACTAATCCGGATCAATAAGAACTAAGGCAATCCGAATTAATGAAACATCCGGATTATTGGAACCTTTTGAAAAGTCACAAAAATACGTCAAAAACTGTAGTTTATTAACCCAAAATAGGTGCTTATCACATAGTACAGTTAATTTTTGCAAAATATCGTATTTTTCCGCTAGAGTTAACATTTTGTGTGGTCTATTTGGCGCCGTGATGCTTCCTACCGAGATTTCCACCCTTGTCACAGAAACAAACGCATCGTTTTCGGTGAAATAAGGGGATTATTCATCGACATAGACTTTGGTAACACCACCTGTAGCGATTGGCGAACTGCGCAAAAAATTATGATCCGGATTATAAAATCACAGGTAATCCGGATTATAGAATACATAATGTTAACATCTGATATTTTAATTTTGTCCGGATTACTGGGAAATCCGGATTAATGGAGTTCGGATTAGTGAAGCTTTACTGTAATTGTATTACAAAGCAAAAAAACTCTAAATAACTCTAGCCCTTCGGGCTCGTATATGACTCCGGCCCTTCGGGCTCGCGTATAACTTCGGCCCTTCGGGCTCGCGTATAACTCCGGCTCTTCGGGCTCGTATTACTGAGTATCACAGATTCCCAGATTTTTGTCGTGGAGGCGCGGGATTGATTGAAATAATGTTGTCAGATTTTTCTAAATTTCATTGAAGTATCGAAATTTGAAAGTGTAATTTGTGAATTATTATTAGGAATTAATTAGGAATCAGGAATAAAAAACTGAGATTTAATTTTCGATTTTTTGGGGGAGGCAAGCCTCCCCGGCTTCCTGTGACGAGCCGCCACTGACCCGAACTTCATTACAGAACTCAATGAATCTAGGGTACTCAGAGGCCTATTTATATTGGCAGCTTGATGACGCTTTTGGGAGTCTTATCGGTCGCACAATTTGCGATTTTACAAGGAATCAGGGGTCAAGAGTCGTGTTTTAACAGTCATCACACTCTTTCGGAAACCGACTGATAACCCTTGGCTCTTGACACGGTTTCGTCAGAAATTTAGCGACTTAATTTAGCTGGGTAAAAAAGACAATTAATTGTATTACGAAGCAAAAAAAAAAAGGATTTTTAGGCCCTTTTGTTACATCTACTAATATGCTTTAGTCCTGCCCTGCTATTTTTCAGTATGTCATCAAAATATGATACATGCGTAACCTTCCAAAGACATATCAAAATGTTACCAACTTATACAGGTAAGAAATAAAATAAAATCTGTATCAACTACCAACTGAAAGGTGATAAATCTACCTTTACCTTTGGACTTCGTATTGTGAATAAATTATATATGGGTATCTGGAAATGGTTCTTTTCCAACTGTGTTTATGAAACGGCCAAGACTTTTATATATCCTATTCACAATCTGTAGTCCAAAGGTAAAGGCTAATTTATCACTTTTCCCTATTAAATAGCACTGAAAAGTGATAAATTTTACCTTTACCTTTGGACATCGGATTGTGAATAGATAATAAATCACTACCTCTTTTCATATTATCTTATGCAATTGGATCAATACTTAAATTATTTTAGGTGTAATATCTGTGGTAGATGAACTAGACTTTGAACAAACTCCTCAATATGAGCTACTTATTAGAGCCACAGATTCAGTTTCTGGTGTCTACGCTGAAGTTCCAGTAAGTATTTTCATAAACAATTAATCATCAATAAACAACAACATTAATTATTTCAGGTATCGATAATTCTTTCTGATGTAAACGATTGCCCACCAGAATTCTCTCAAGAATCCTATAACATTTCAATATCAGAAGCTGCTCAATTCGGCACCCATGTACTTACAGTTTCAGCTCACGACAATGATACAGGCACCAATCAAAAAATATTTTATTCAATAGAGAAAGACAAAAACAATAATGCTTCAGAATATTTTTATATTGAAGAAAGAGAAGGCAAGATTTATTTGAAGCAAAGCTTGGACCATGAAATGTCTAGCGAACATCATTTCGTTGTTGTAGCTACTGACCAAGGAGTACCAAGTTTGAATAGTACCGCACATGTATGGGTTAGAGGTAAGGATTATTTGTTTATTAAAATTTTATAATAATTGTTTTATAATAATTAGTTTTGGATATGAACGATAATCCACCAAAATTCGAACAAGCTTCTTATTCGTGTGGAGTATCAGTGTCAGCTAAAAGAGACCAATTTGTCACCATAGTAAAAGCTAGTGATCTTGATACTATAGACCAAAATAATCTTAAATATACCATAGTGAGTGGAAATGAACAGCAAACATTTTCCATGGATTCTAGCACAGGAATTGTATCTTTAGGTAAAAATTTGTTTCGGTAATAAGAATAAATTTTAATTTAAATTCCTTCTTAGTAAATCTAGCAAACTTTGGCAACCAACAAATGATGCTATTAAATGTCTCGGTTAGCGATGGAGTATACACGAACTTTGCCAGGCTCAAAGTTGAACTAATTCCAGCCAATTTGTATCCGCCTAAGTTCAAAGATGTTATATTAGGTAAGTTTTGTGAATGGAATAAATTGGGCTTCAGACTATGTATACCATTTTTGCGTAGACGTAGCAGTGCCAGAAAACCGAATGCCAGGGATTACGGTTACATTCGTAAATGCTACAGATTCAGATTTTGGAGAATTTGGAACGATTAGTTACAGTATACATTCGGATTTGATGGGCGAAATTTTTAGTATTGATAAAAATAGTGGAAAAATTGTGACGAGGGCAACGTAAGTTTATTTTTTTTATATATAAGTACAGACAGAATAATGAAGAAAATATTATTTTTAAGTTTGGACAGAGAGAAGCAAAAACAATACGAAATCCCAGTGATGGCAACAGATGGCGGTGGTTTAAGTGACTTTTTAACAGTCAGAGTTAGAGTGTCAGATGAAAACGATAACGCTCCAAGATTCTTATTGAAAGAGTACAAAATTAGCATTCCTTCCAATTTGACTACTGGTATAGCGTTTACAAAAGTAAGTTCATGCTTTTTCTTATTCCAAACACCATAAACTTCTCAGTTAACACATCTAGGTACATAAAGTTAAGGTAGAAATTTACGTGAATGCGTATTTATATATTCCCAATGAGAATTAAATGCTCTTTGAGATAAAACAAATTTGAATCATTTATCTCAGATAGTTTCTGAGATATTGAACCTCAAAGTTGAAACTTTGTCTCAAATTATGGTGTACAGTTTCGTCTACGCGCCCTGTATATAGTTGTAGGTTAAATTGGGTATTTAGGATGTCAAATCCGATTTGGAAATGGAAATTGATTCGTTTTTTTCTTCTTTATTTTGTATTTCTCTTATTCTAATTGAATTGCGCGTTTTATGCCTAAGAATTGATACGGCTTTGCTAAATTTGGCTTTTAAAAATGCGCGCGTTAAACACTGAAAAAGGATACCTGCAAAGTCCTTACACTGCCGACAAGTAAAATCAGTAGCCAAAAACACTCCGCCCGTTTCGTGAAAGAGCTGGCCAGCTGAGTGGAGTTTGGAAGTAAAGCCAGATAAGGTGGAAAAATATCCTTTTCAGGTGGAGCGAAATTCAAATTAATAATTCTTGTAGCAACACTTCGTTTGTGTAGTAGCACAAGATCAAAATATGTAGGAACACTAAAGGGAAAAAAAATTAGCAACACGTCTTGAGTAAAAGTATAGCAACACTTGTTTTTGTGTAGCAACAAGTCATTTGTGGGATAGTTTTTGCTCAGGGCAGGAGTTTGTTGAATTTCTTATGTAGCAACACGAAAAAAAAAGTGTAGCAACACAATCGTTGGTAGTAGTTTTTACAGCAACATTTCAATGAACTTATGTAGCAAAAACGTGTAGCAACACGAGCGAAAGTGTAGCAACAAGTTGTTAAGGAGGTAGTTCTTTTTAATGGGTTTTTAGGGTGAGATTTTATGTAGCAACACTTGTATTAGGAAAATGTATTGAATTCGTTTTCAGCGGGTTTTGATTGGATTAAGAGTTTGAATTTTGATTATTCCCTGTTTTTTATTGGTTTATTTTTGAATTTTCCAGGCTTTTCATTGGTTTAGGAATTCAATTTTTATTCATTCCCGGGTCTTGATTAGCTTAGAAATTCAAATTTCGAATATTCCCGGCTCTTGATTGGCTTCCAAAGCCAGTTTTTGAATTTTCCTAACTCTTAATTGGGTTCAAAATTCAAATTTCAAACATTCCCGGCTCATGATTGGTTTAGAAATTGAATTTTTGATTATTCCCGTCTCTTGATTGGCTTCAAATTTTGAATATTCCCGGCTCTTGATTGGTTTAGAAATCCAAATTTTAAATATTCCCGACTTTTGATTTGCTTAAAAAGTCAATTTTTGAATTTTCCCGGCTCTTAATTGGGTTCAAAATTTGATTATTCCTGGCTCTTGATTGGCTATGAAATTCAAATTTTGAATATTCCCGGCTCTTGATTGGCTTCCAAAATCAATTTTTGAATTTTCCCAACTCTTATTGATTGGGTTCAAGATTCAATTTTGAATATTCCTGGCTCTTGATTGGTTCTGAAATTCTAATTTTGAATATTCCCGGCTCATAATTGGTTTAGAAATTGAATTTTTGATTATTCTCAGCTTTTGATTGGCTTCAAATTTTGAATATTCCCGACTCTTGATTGACTAATAAATTCAAATTTTAAACCCGATCAAGAGCCAAGAATAATCAAAATTTGAATTTTAAACTCAATCAAGAGCCGGGAATATTCAAAAATTGACTTTGGTAGCCAATCAAGAACTAGAAATATTTAAAATTTGAATTTCTAAGCCAATCAAGAGCCGAGAATATTCAAAATATGAAGCCAATCAAGAGCCGAGAAAATTCAAAAATTGACTTTGGAAGCCAATCAAGAGCCGGGAATATTCAAAATTTAAATTTCTAAGCCAATCAAGACCCAGGAATAATCAATGTCTGAGTTTTGAACTCAATCAAGAGCTGGGAAAATTTCGAAAATTGATTTTGGAATCCAATCAAGAACCGGGAATATTCAAAATTTGAGGCCAATCAAAAGCCAGGAATAATCAAAAATTCAATTTCCAAACCAATCATAAGTCGGGAATATCCAAAATATGAAGCCAATCAAGAGCCGAGAAAATTCTAAAATTGACTTTGGAAGCCAATCAAGAACTAGGAATATCAAGAGGCCGAGAATATTCAAAATATGAAGCCAATCAAGAGCCGAAAAAATTCAAATATTAACTTTGGAAGCCAATCAAGAGCCGGGAATATTCAAAATTTGCATTTTTAAGCCAATCAAGAGCCAGGAATAATCATAATTTTTCCCTAAATAGTTTTCCAGAAAAAAAAATAAAATGTTGGATGGTGCAATTATGTCTAATTTTGTTGATTTTCATTAATTTCCAATGGGGTTATTTTTCACTGAAAAAATTCGAAATTTTAGTATGATACGCCCCAGACTTTTTTTCCAGAAAATTTCATAATTTTCCCCTGGATAATTTTCCAGAAAAAAAAAATGTTAGATGGTGCATCTATGTCTAATTTAGTTACTTTTCATTAATTTCCAATGGGGTTATTTTCCACTGGTAAAATTTGAAATTGCACTATGATACGTCCCTGACTTTCTTCTTTTTTTCCAGAAAATGTCATAATTTTTCCTTGAATAGTTTTCCAGAAGAAAGATAAAGTGTTGGATGGTGCATTTATGCCTAATTTAGTTGATTTTCATTAATTTCCAATGGGGTTATTTTCCACTAAAAAAACCTGAAATTTTACTATGATACGCCCCTGATTTTCTTCTTTCTCTCCAGAAAATGTCATAATTTTCCCCTGAATATTTTTCCAGAAAAAAAAAATAAAATGTTAAATGGTGCATTTATGCCTAATTTAGTTGATATTCATTAACGGGGTTATTTTCCACTGGGAAAATTTGAAATTTCACTATGATACGCCCTTGACTTTCCTCTTTTTTTCCAGAAAATGTCATAATTTTCTCCTGGACAGTTTTCCGGAAAAAAAAAATAAAATGTTAGATGGTGCATTTATATCTAATTTAGTTGATTTTCATTAATTTACAATGGGGTTATTTTTCACTGGAAAAATTTGAAATTTTAGTATGACACGCCCCTGACTTTTCTCGTTTTGTCCAGAAAATTTCATATTAGTTCGATCTCTGTGTGTCCCTCCAGGACAATTGGTGGTCATCTGTCTCCAGCAGGATACTATAATTTGTACAAATGAGAAATTTTGATTTTCCGACATTGCTTCACAAAATCTCTCAATACTCAAGTAATATTCTAGAAATTCTGATGCAAATTTATATATTCTCAATTAGAAATAAATGTTCTCCAAGATAAAACAAACTTGAATTATTTATCTCAAATAGTTTCCCAGATATCGAGCCTCAAAGTTGAAACTTTGTCTCAAATTTTGGGAAACCTTTAAAGCCAATTATCTCGAAAACGAAGCCCTAGGAATAGATGCCCCAAATAACCTTTTTCTACAATTCCCATGAAAAAATTGAAAATTACAATAAATTTTTTTTTCAGATTAAAGCCACTGATGCTGACGAAGGCCCAGGTGCCCAATTGGAATATTCAATCTACGAAAGAAAATCATCTGAAGTTGCTGGAATATTCGGCATCAATCCCGCCACAGGAGAATTGTATCTGCTCCGTAACGTTTTCACATGGGGTAATACAATTACACAATCAACATAATCTAAAAAAAATCTAATTATTTTCCTTTAGTTGGTGAAGTGTTCCAATTCTTCGTGCGCGCCACAGACAAAGGCAAATCGGAAAAACACAGCGAAGTGCCTGTAAATATCCTCATTATGGGCCCAACTGACTATCCACCAGCTTTCGAAAGAAAAGACAGCAAATTTTTCTTATCAGAAAACTCAGCCACTGGAACTGTAATAACCAAATTGAAAATTCTAGGAAATGCTTCTGTTAACTATGAAATTGGTAAACCATTTGGCCAACAAACCATAATCAAATCACAAACATTTTTTATTTTCAGTATCAGAGTCTGATGACAATCCTCAATTCAGCATAGACTCTCAAGGCCAAGTTGCTTTAGCTCGGCCTTTAAATTTCGAAAGTCAACCTACACATTTAATAGGCGTTTTGGCCTTAACAGATAGCAGTCCACCTTTGACAGCTTTGGCAGAAATTGTTTTGCAAGTGCAAGACGAAAATGATCATGCGCCACAGTTTGAAAGCGGCACTTATATGTTGAATTTGGGTGAAAATGTTAAAGAGGGTACTTCAATTTTGAAAGGTATTTATATAGGTGATATTGGTTTATGTATTAATAACTTATTTTTTCGAAGTTATCGCCCATGATGAAGATCAAGGCAGCAATGGTGAAGTTCGCTACAGTTTTACACCAGAAAACTCAGAAATTGTAAATTATTTTGCTATAGACACTCATACTGGTTGGATTAGTAGTCTAGTTAAGCTAGATAAGGAAACTAGATCAGAGTATAAATTCTACGTTACTGCAACTGATAATGGGACACCTAAACATTCTGCTAGAACAACAGTAAGATTACATTTTTATCTTACGCTGCAAATAATTTATTTTTATGTACTTATAGGTTATCATTAAATTAAAAGACTACAATGACAGCCCTACAACATTCAAAGAGCCATTCTATCAAACCGAAGTAAACGAAGATGCTTTGCCTGGCACAGTTTTGCTAACTTTAACCACTACAGACGCGGACGTTGATTTATCTACTCCAGTGGAATTTTATATTACTGCAGGCGATCCTAGTTCGCAATTTCAAATAAGACAAACCGGGGAATTGTATATTGCCAAAAGTCTCGACAGAGAAAAGGTGGCTAGTTATAATTTGGATATTTTAGTTACTGATGGATTTTTTACTGACACTACTAAAGTTGCTGTAAATGTATTGGATATAAATGGTAAATAATTGTTGTGTATCTATACTATAATACATTGTTTTTTTTAATTCTAGACAATCCACCTTATTGCCTCAAATACCGTTACAAACAAGTCCTGTCAGAAGGTATTTTGCCTGGATCATTTGTCCTTTCGGTACTGGCAACCGATATTGACGGTCCCGAACATTCAAAACTCAAATACGTTTTATCTGGCGACGGTTCTGAAAACTTCCTTCTCGACAAAGACACTGGCGATTTGAAAACAATCATGCACCTAGACAGAGAAACCCAATCGAAATACATTCTTACAGCTCACGTGCACGACAAAGAACAAACGCGTTGGGAATGTTCGTCACAAATAGAACTAATAATTTCTGATTTGAATGATAATTCTCCAGTGTTTAGTTTGCCTAATTACTCGGTAGCCCTGCCGGAAGATGTTGAGATTGGCACGTTGGTAACAAAAATCCACGCCACTGATGCTGATATAGGAATCAATAGAAAAATCAAATATTCGTTTATCGATTCGTTTAATGATCATTTTGTTATGGCACATGACAGTGGGATTGTAACTTTGGCTAAGCCTTTGGATAGAGAAATAAGAGCTATGTATAATTTAACAGTTCAGGCAGTGGATCAAGGGACTCCTCAGTTATCTACCATAGCGTGTTTGATAGTCAACGTGCAAGATATTAATGATAATCCGCCAGAGTTTGCTAATAAGTATTATTTTGCTACTGTACCGGAAATTGATGCTGTTGGTAAGTGGAGTTTTTCATTTTGTCTCATAACATGTCATGGAATCAAATTTTGCCTCATTACTTCAATAATTTTAATCCGATTTCAATGTAATTAGGCTTCAATTGAAGCTAATTGAATTCTCTATAAATCTCTTTAATAGTTTTGCAGCTGCGAAGTATTTTAACTTTGATTTTCAACAAAATGTGACATATATTTGTCTTTCTTCAGGTACTGAAGTTGTTCGTGTACAAGCAACTTCCAAAGATATTGGCGCCAATGCCGAAGTCTACTACTCAATAATAGGAGGAAACGAACACAAAAAGTTCACCATAAACAATAAAACCGGAGTCATCACTATTGCGGACATGTTGGACTTTGAAAGAGCTAAAGATTACTTTTTGACTATTCAAGCAATCGGTAAGAATAATAGTTTACCTTATTTTCAGCAAACTAATATAGAGATTATTTTCCAGATGGCGGGACACCTCCTTTGAGTAATGTAGCTACAGTAAATATAACCGTAACAGATTGCAACGATAATGCACCAGTTTTCGCCCAAGTTTCCTATAGCGCTAGAATTAGAGAAGATGCTCATGTAGATGATAAAATATTGCAGATAACTGCCACTGATCTTGACAGCAACGAAAACGGACAAATAACCTACTCAATAATCAACGGCGATAACTTGGACCAATTCACAATAGATCCCAAATCTGGATATGTTTCAGTTGCTTCGCCACTAGACAGAGAAGCTATATCCAGCTACGTATTGGAAATTCTAGCTAAAGACAATGGACTTCCAGTTTTGTCCAGGCAAACCATGTTAAATATAGAAATATCCGATGCCAACGATAATCCTCCAATGTTTTCACAATTAAACTATACTGCAGTTATACAGGAGAATAAACCTCTAGGACACTCGATTCTTCAATTTAAAATCACAGACGACGATATCCATCCAAATACAGTGCCCTATACTTTTGACATACGAGTTGGCAATGAAGGAAATTACTTCAGGCTGGATCAAGATGGTGTTTTGAGGACATCCTCAAAGTTCAATCATAAAGTTAGAAACAATTATTTGTTGCAAATTAGAGTTTTCGATAACGGAAGTCCACCTCTGTATTCTGACACTTGGGTTTTGGTTAAGATAATTGAAGAGTCTCAGTATCCACCAATAATGACTCCGCTGGATATTAACATAAATTCTTATCTTGACGAATATCCTGGAGGGATCATTGGAAAAGTTTACGCCAACGATCAAGACCAATATGACACTCTCACTTACGCTTTATATCCTACAGCAGGAATTTCTTATCCTACTCATGAACTTTTCCAGATTAACAGGTAAGAATCTATTTTTCCAGGTTATAATGCCGTGATCTAGTAATATTTCTACCTACCATTTCGTCTACTGCTGCGGTAGACATCTTCAGAGGCGGTGTGGTAGAAGACGAAGTGTTCTCTTCCGTTTTCCTCCGATGTCTCGATTCGACATTTTTTTTTTGTCGTGGCTAATAGATTTTTTTGTTTAGGAAATGTAATTAGTACTTTATGTTCCCATATTTTTGGTAGAACATATTCTGGTGTAAGTCGTGTTGTTGCGTAATCGAAGCGGTTTCAGTGTAAGTCGGTTTATCTAACGGTTTGACTCGGGCGCCACCCTCAGAATTAAAGTGGTTGAGGGCCCACGTGCACCAGGTAGCTTGTTACAGTGGAGAAACGGTAATCCAGGGATCACAGACGCTTGTTCTGTGAAATTTTCTGAAAATCTTGGGGAAAAGAAATGGACAACAGTCGATAAATTTAAATAAATATAAGACTGTATTACCGGAAAATATTTACAGGAAAACCCTTAATTAACCCTGTGAAAAAATGAACGGGGATGCGTGAGAGAAAGAGAGAAATAATTCAATTGGCGATCTAATTTCCGTATAGTTTCTCAAAATATTCAGTTACTTATTTTATAATTCCCCCTAAGTTTTTGTTATTTTCAAAAATTCTTAATTCCCGTTATTTTCCATTTTTTTTTTGTGAATTTTCATTATTTCCGTAATTTTTCAGATAATTCTCCCTATTTCTATAATTCCTCCTTAGTTATTCCAATTCTCGGAAAACTCGTAGTTTTCGTAATTCCCGTAACTTTTTCATAAATTCCGTAACTTTTTAAAAAGTATCGTAATTTTTTCGCAATTCCTGTGATTTTTTCTTATTTCTTTCAATTTTTATAATTCCTGTAGTTCCTCAAATTTCCGTAATTTTGTAATTCCCGCAATTTCTCAAAAAACTACGTTCTCTTTATAATTCCCCCCAAGTTTGTTGTGATTCTCAAAAATTCTCTTAATTTTTTTTTTCTTGGAATTTTCGAACATTTTCAAATTCCCCTCATATCTCAACAAATTCTAACCAATTTCATAATTCCCCCTTAGTTTTTGTAATTTTCGGAAAATTCGTGAATCCAGTAACTTTTTGTAATTCTTGTTATTTTCGTAATTTTTTGAAAATTGTCACAATTTTTTTAATTGTTGTGATTTTTTCGTATTTTTCATAATTTTTGAATAATTCCTGTAGTTTTCAAATTTCCGTGATTTTTTAATTCATGTAATTTCTCAGAAAACTCCGTTATTTTTATAATACCCCTTAGTTTTTACAATTTTCGAAAAACTCGAAATTTTCGTAATTTCCATTATTTTCGTTATTTTTTAATTTCCGTAATTTCTCAAAAAAACTCCGTTAGTTTTATAATTCCCCCTAAGTTTTTGAAATTTTCGAAAGTTGGTAATTTCCGTATTTTTTTTTTGGAGATTTTCGATTTTTTTTTAATTCCTGTCATTTCTCAGATAATTCTTGTTATTTTCTCATTCCCCCTTACTTTTCTCAATTTTTGGAAAACTTGGTAATTTTCGTTATTCCCGCAATTTTTCGCGCTTGTCTCATCGGAAACATGTAATTCCAGTAATTATTTGTATTTTCAATTTTTCAATTTTCAACTTTCCTAATTTCAAAAAAATTCTGAATTTTCTAATTCTCCCTAAGTTATTGTAATTTTCGTCATTTTAAAAACTCGTGATTTCCGTTATTTTGGGAATTACCGTAATTCACGTAATTTTGGAATAACTTTGTAATTCTTTTCCGTAATATTTCGTAATACCCGTAATTTTTGTAATTTTCGTAGTTTTTCGTATTTTCCTTAATTCCCGTAATTTTTATAATTTCTCATAGTTCCCGTAATTTTTCGTCATTTTACTAAGTTCCGTAAATTTTTATAATTTCCATTATTTTTTGTAATTCCCGTAATTTGTCTTGCTAGTTTTCATAACTTTTCAAAAATTAGTAATATTTAAATAATTGACATAATTTTGGAGTAACTTCGTAATTCTTTTGCGTAATATTTGGCAATTCCCATAATTTTTGTAATCCCCGCAATTTTTTGTTATTCTGTGATTCTCGTCATATTCCGTAATTCTCGTAAATGATGGAATTTTCATAATTTTTCATATTTTACACGTAATTCCCGTAATTTTTCGTAACTTTTTAAAAATTATCGTAATTCTCATAATTTTTTTGTAATTTTCCGTAATATTTGAATGAATAATTCACGTAATTTTGAAGTAATTTCGTAACTCTCTCTCATAATTACCGTAATTTCCGCGAATTTTTCGTTATTTCCCTAATTCCCGTCATTTTTCGTAATTTTCGTAATTTAATAATAAATAGTTCACGTAATAATGGACTAAGTCCTAGTAGGGTTAAACTTTTACGGCAAGCGAAAGTATTAACGGTCCCTGCTCGGGCGCCAATTTTGTGAGGCGCTTTTGTTGCGTAATCGAAGAGGGGTTCAGTGTAAGTCGGTTTATCTAACGGTTTGCCTCGGGCGCCACCCCCAGGATTAAAGTGGTTGAGGGCCCACGTGCACCAGGTAGCTGTTACAGTGGAGAAACCAGGGGTCACAGACGCCTGTTCTGTGAAATTTTCTGAAAACCTTGGTTTGCGGAAAAGAAATCGACAACAGCCGATAAATTTAAATAAATATAACACTCTGTATTACCGGAAAATATTTACAGGAAAACCCTTAATTAACCCTGTGAAAGAATGAACGGGGATGCATGAGAGAGAGATAATTAAATGAGTGAAAAATTATGTGCGTGACGATGCGGGCGGTTAAAAGCGTGTCCAGAAAAGTTAACGGTAGCGATAACATAACGGTCAGCCTTCCGGTAGCTCTAAAGGTTCCCGTAACGTTAACGCTAACGGCAAATGTTAAATAGCAATAAAGCGGTAAAACAAACTCCGGTAACCCAAGCAAATTTACGGACACCACCTGAATCTACATAGGCGTCAGTTCTCGAATCGTGCATTTAACGTATTACAAAACTACCCGCCCAGGGTACCGAGCGAAGTTCTAAGAGCAATAGAGACTACCCGTCCAGGGTACCGGGCGAAACCCCTATTGCAGGAAAAGATTTACCCGTCCAAGGTACCGGGCGAAAATCTTAGTGAAGCTTATATAATTTTTCCAATCTTCTGTTATTTGGTTATCCATCTTGAAAAACACTGTCTTCGGCGACTCTCACCAACGAATTCATTTTTGAGGGCTCAATTTGGCTTTGATAAATGGACATCCCTTCTACGCAAAAAGACTGACTTGGCTAGAATTGAGATCTTTCTTCGCTTGGCTGATGCTTCCACTTTTAGAGCTCGACTCAGAATGCGGTTTCGATTGGACGTTGTTGAACCTGCGTTATTTATATCCAGGGTTGTGGATGTGGCTTGTATTACGCTATTTTCCTAGTCTCGTTCTCCGAAAGGAAGGATCTTTGTTATTCGCAGAACTGGCAACCAGCATTTGTTAAGGTTCATGCCCACTTCTTTTCTGTTATACTTGTTGCTGTGCTTCTGTATCTCTATGGCTTCTCTGTGGAGCGTGGTGTAAAAACTCTTGAAACGGCTGGTGTCTATAGAATTCCCTGCTCCTGTGGATTTGTCTATGTAAGAACAACCAAACGGATAACGCTCTATCAATACCAGGGTCAAAGCATTGGATAGGAGCAAACATTTTTACGCCAGGCTCCTCAGAGAAGCAATAGAGATACAGAAACACCACAACAACTTTAGGAGAAAAGAAGAGTGCATGAACCTTAACAAAAGTTGGTTGCCAGTTCTCCGAAAAACAAAAATCCTTCCTTTCCGAGAAGCCACGCCCACAACCCTGGATATAAATAACGCAAGTCCAACAACATCGAATCCGGCCATCGTAGGAACACGGAAGAGAACACTTCGTCCTCTACCATACCTCTGAAGATGTCTACCGCAGCAGTAGACGAAACGTTAGGTAGAAATATGACTCGACCACGGCATTATAGCCCGGAAAAGTTTTTTTTTTTTAATTTGACTGGCCGTGAAAGCCTTCAATCTTTATTTAAAATTCTTATTTATATCAATCATCAAAATTCTGATTGTTTTTTTTTCAGGACTGATGGGACTCTACGAGCTTTGCCTCGTCTAGATGTAGGTGAATATCGTCTAAACGTCTCAGTAACTGATGGAAAGTTTTCCACCTACACAATAGTCAAAATCAATGTGGAAATTTTATCAGACGTAATGCTTGAAAATTCTGTAGGAGTCCGTTTTAGAGATGTCAGTCCAAAAGCCTTCATTATGACTCACAAAAAAGGATTTGTAAGAGCCGTAAGGAACGCCATGAATTGTAGACTAAAAGACATAGTCATCATAAGCATCCAACCATCTAACGACGAAGATTTACTAAGAGCCAAACGTCAAAGTCAACCAAAATCCAGACCAAAAAAATACATCCACAAAGACCTAGACGTACTTTTCACAGTAAAAAAGCCCGATGAAGGTTACTTCTCTTCTGACACTATAAGAAAATCTCTAAACGATAACTTGGAAGAATTAGAAGAAAGCACCAAACTAGTAGTCGAAGAAATCATCAGACCAAAATGCAACAACAACTATTGCGTCCACGGAATGTGTCAAGATCATTTTGCCTTGGACACAGCTACAATTGAAGTTGTATCCACTGATGTAACAAGCTTCGTATCCCCAGTACATAGACAAAAACTGGACTGCGTGTGCAAAGAAGGTTACGGAGGCGACAGGTGCAACACCATAGTCAACGAATGCGCCAGAGAACCATGTCCGGTTTTCAAAATCTGCGTTCCGGATGCTTCGCAAACGGGCTACTCTTGCCAGTGTCCGGAAGGATTTGCCGGATCAGCTTGCGATGTAGACATATCCAAATGCCACGATCAAAATTGTTACATTGCCAGGAATCCTATATCTTTTAGCGGCAAGAGTTATTCCCAATATAGGATTATTAATAAGAAATCGATTGAGGATCAGCTGAGTTTGAGTTTGAGAGTGCGGACTGTGCAGCCAACTGGTAACTTGATGTATGCCTCTGGAAAAGTTGACTATAATATCTTGGAAATTGTCAACGGAGGTGTTCAGTATCGTTTCGAACTCGGTAGTGGGGAAGGTATAGTACGAGTGGGCGATATTTTTGTGTCTGATGGTAGTTGGCACGAAATCAAACTGGAAAGGGACAGAAACAATGCTAAAATCACTATAGACGGTATTTATAGTGCTCAAGGATCCGCCCCAGGAGTCAGCGACATTTTAAATCTTCAAAGCGATGAAATGTATTTGGGGGCTGAGGTGCATCAACATCCATCAATTTTGGGCTTCGAGGATGTCCAAAAAGGATTTTCTGGATGTATGGATGATATTAGAATTAGTAGGGTAAGGATTATTCACTGTGATTAGGAATGTGTTTTCAATAATTATTGTTTTCAGGTCTCAGTGCCATTACACACAAAATCAGGTGAAAACTCTGTGGTGGTTCTTAAAAGGTTTGCAAATGTGGAATTCAGTTGCGATACAAACAACATATTGGTACCGCCAGGTCCTTGTGGATCTCAGCCGTGCTTGAATGGTGGTACTTGTAGGGAAAACAAAGCAGGGTAAAAACTTTTTATGTACCTACTCTTACTAAAACGATGAAATTTCAAAATTTTTTTTGTTGAGATTTTATATCCTAATGGTCCTTCGGGATCCTCCGAACTTCATACACTAAATTATTCTGGATTCTATGGAAAAAGGCACTGAGATAAATTTCAGTGAAAGTTTCAGCTTTCTATCTATGATACAAAAAAAAACTATGCCCTTACAAAGTTTTCCAAAATCTAAATCATAAGGTAGCTTCTTACTAAAACGATAAAATTTCAAATTTTTTTTTGTTGAGATTTTGTATCCTAATGGTCAATTAACATCCCCCAAACTCCATACACCAAATTATTCTCAGATTTGAAGCCGAAATCTATGAAAAAAGGCACTCAGAACAATTGAAAAATTGATAAATCACCCCAACCTGCTTAAATAGTACTCAATTCCCACCAAAAATCTGTTACGAGAGCGGTCATTTAGCATTTCTCGAACCAATCCTCTTATTTGTCCTCGTTTATCGAATGATAAATGATATTGTTGTTTTCCAAGAATTGTTTTTTTTTTAAGTTTTTATTTAGGATATGATGCAATATCCGGCGGAAACACCGGTGTTGTAGTTTATCAGTTATAACGCAATTAAATCACATGAGTATAGTGATTTCCGGTTAAACGCGTCCTAATTTTATAATTTTTTATTGATTTTTTTTTTATCGGAATGTCGCAAGAGTCTATTAATTGGGGACATCGAACTCTGACATCCGGTCGCTTATCGCTTGTGTTGGAAAAAAAATTGTTATGTACATAATTTGAGTTGAGCTTGGAAATTTCATCATTTTTTATTTATACTATTTTTATACGGCTAGGAGATTTAATAAGTTGAGATTAAATTATCTTGCAACTGACGTAGGTACTTTTCTAATTAAAATGACTACAAAAATGCTTTTACCAATTGAGTTTAGTTATATTTTCTGGGATTTTAGCACCTCGAAATTTTTGGGGTTGCCACACTTCTTCGAAAATTGAGAAAACGGCAAAAACGCAGCATTTTACTTATACCTATAATTTACCACTACGTGTTGTGTAAAAGTTAGGGAATCTTTTAACGTAAGTACTACGTAAGTTCGTAGTTTCTCCCACTGCCTAAGAATGTAGTTGATTGCCGCGATTGCTGCAAGATTGTCAGATTGCCAAAGTGATTTCCGCGATTGCCAAAATCATTGAATACACGCCCTTTCATGGACTTTTTCCGACTGTGGTCGCGATTATGGACTGCGAAGGCAATTGCGAGAAAATGTATACGTATTGCGAGAGTGGTTACCCCCTCGATTAGTTCATTGTCAACAAAACGCGATAACTGCGATCGCTGATGGCTAATCGTACTTTCACGAAGAATGATAAAATTGAAAACAGACCGATGAAATCCATCTATGTTTCATTGATGAGCAGTGTTGCCAACTCGATAGAATTTCCACTAGTTCTTGTGGATTTGAATGATGATGATTTTTAGTGATACCTCACTTCCATTACTTTTCGATACTTCTTTTAAAATTTCGGAATAATGTATTTGTATAGAAGTTTCGCTAATTTACAGAAGGCAGCATATTTTTTTGTGGACTTGTCATATCGTAGGTATGTCAATATTGTCAATGATGCTTTTATGTCAACTTTCAACATTATCACTTTTAAACTTCAAGTCAAGCAAACCGGGCTTTCGTGCTTTTATAAACATACTGTTGTAACATAATCTAAGAAGCAATAGTTATTTACATTCCAAGCTGCGAAAGCGTACTTTTAGGAGGTATTCAAATAACCTCGGCTGCGCTTCGCTTCGCCTCGGCTATTTGCATACACCTCGCACCTAAAATTAATGACATCATATTACGTTTCAGTGGAATGTCATTGCCTAAAATGGCTTTTGCAGCATGTAATGTAGGTATTAAACTTTTCCTACGACCACATACAAAAATGACAAAATCCGCTCTAGTTGATTCTTTGGAAAGCGCTTAATATCACACGCGTGCTGAAAGTACTTTCAATACGCGTACTGAAAGTACTTTCAGCACACGTATGGAAAATACTGTTGACATTATATTTGTGATTGACATTGACAATTTACTTTCAATACGTGGGTTGAAAGTTGAAAATACTTTCAGCACGTGTGTTGAAAATGAAAAAAAAATAAAAAAGGGAAAATTAGTGTAAATCGGTATCTGGTCGTAGGAAAAATGGTGTACATCACTCGTGAGAAAGCGTCTTTCATACACTCGTGTGAAATTTGTCACTTTCTACACTCGTAATGTAATATACTATTTCTATGCTAGGAGCGAAAGTAAAATAGTATATAACTACTACTTTCGTAGGGGGGAGAATGAAAAGAAAAGAAACTAACTCAACACAACATGATAGATGATACCTAGATGGAGTTGAGTATCCATATTTTTTAGAATTATTAAACAATAAAAAGATATTGAGGGTGTTAAATTTTTTTAAAAAGAGTGGGAAAAATTTAGTAGATTTTCCAAAAAATTTTCGCCTGTACCGCCATTTTTTTCACCTAGTGGATTTTAGTGGATTTAAATCTCTTTTCTAGTGGACAGTCTTGGTTCAGAGTTGGCAACACTGTTGATAAGGCTATCTGGATCACGTGCTAGTAGTTTTATGCGATGTGATGTTGCATGATCTACTGATTTGCTTCCAGTATTCTCTCACTAATTCCCCAAATTTCCCGAGTAATTCCTCAGTCATTTCTCTAATTTCCCACTAATTCCTCTAATTCCTCTAATTTTCCACTAATTCCTTCAATTCCCCACTAATTCCTCTAATTTCTTATTAATTCCTGAAGATTCTACACCAAAATTCCCCTGCGGTTTACCATTCGGGATTTCCTTAACGCGATATTTTCTCGGAATCTATAAATCCAAATGAGCTAAAATGTTCAGGAATTGTAGCCTGCCACTGGGATAAGAATCGCTGAAAATTTCAGCTTTCTATCTCTTATAGAAAAAAAGTAAAGACCTTTCAAAGTTTTCCAAAATCTAAATCATAAGGTGGCTACTTTGGCTATTTTTTTGTTGACATTCTGTGTCCTAATGGTCCTTCAGGATCCCCCGAACTCCATACATTAAATTATTCCGAGATTTGGAGCCGGATTCTATGAAAAAAGGCACCCAGAAAATTTTGCTTCCGCCCATTACCTGCGGATTTCCTTAATACGATGTTTTCTCGGAATCTATAAGTCCAAATGAGCTACAATTTTCAGGAATTGTAGTCCGCCCCTGGGATAAGAATCGCTGAAAATTTCAGGTTTCTATCTTTAATAGAAAAAAGGTTATCAACTAGTTTTCCAAAATCTAAATCATAAACCTTCTTATTAAAACGATGAAATTTCAAAATTTTTTTTGTTGAGATTTTGTGTCCTAATGGTCCTTCGGGATCCCCCGAATTCCATACACTAAATTAATACAAGATTTGGAGCCGGATTCTATGAAAAAAGGCACTCAGAAAATTTTGCTCCTGCCTATTACCTGCGGATTTCCTTAATACGATGTTTTCTCGGAATCTATAAGTCCAAATGAGCTAACATTTTCAAAGATTGGGATAAAAATCGCTGAAAATTTCACCTTCTATCTTTAATAGAAAAAAAATTATGACCTTTCAAAGTTTTCCAAAATCTTAATCATAAGGTGATTCAAATTAACTTTTCTTTATTCAGATTTGAATGTGAATGCCACAACCGATACGCTGGTACTCTCTGTGATCTGGATACCGATCCTTGTGCATCAGCACCATGTTTATACGGAGGCAAATGTACTCCAACAATAGCCGGAGACTTCGTTTGCGAATGTGTATTAAGATTGAGTGGAAAAAGATGTGAATATGGACGATATTGTTCTCCAAATCCTTGTAAGCATAATGGAGTGTGTGAGGAAGGAGACGATGGACCTTTATGTAAATGCAGGTGGGAATTTTTGAATGAAACTGTACAAAACAAATTGAAATTTTGTTATTTTCCAGGTCATTTGATGGTGAATTTTGTGAATACGACCTCAACGAATGCGAATCGAACCCATGTCAAAATGGTGCCACTTGTATAAATGAAATAGGTTCTTTCCATTGCAACTGCCCACCAAACGTTACAGGAACTTACTGCGCAAACTCTATTTTTAACTCGCCAATATCTTCAACTTTCTTTTTAAACATCACATGGAATCAATTAATGTATATTGGAGTCTGTTGTGTGGCAATTATGGTGCTTACCATCATTATTTGCTCAATTTGTTGCTGTAGGATGAGAAAGTAAGAATGTTTGTTATTGATTAATGAATTTGATGCTAATTTTTTGGGCTTTTTAGAGCCAAAAAGCGACGTAGCAGGATGGTGAACAATGAAAACATTAAAGATAACAACGTCCTAAATTCGACTCATCACAGAGCTCATGAACTTTCGGAACTGAAACGAGGCTCCAAACTAAGCAATTTAGAGGTCAACCATAGGGACATTCCAATATGCCCTCCGAGGCCCGTAAGTTATACCCCCAGTTCCCAAAATGAAGGTAAGAACTACTAGAAATGCTTTTGATTGTCTCCACTCCTTACTGAATTTGATGGGTTTTCAACATTGAAGATTTTTCAGGTATTTACAACTGTAACAACGCAACTATGATGCTCAATAATCTGGACACATTGAGAAGTTACGGCTCAGCAGGCGATGAACTCGAAAATGTACCACCAGATTATGTCAAAAATCTCAACAGAAGTGCCCCGCAGGGTTGCATAAGTAACCATTGCGATTCTGAAAAGACCAAATGGGCAGAACAAATGCATTTGGCTTCTAGTTTCAATGATAAAAGAATAAAGAATGGTAAATATTTTTATTTTTTTGTATCAGTATGATCATTTTGTTTCGCTATAGTTACAAGCCCTGTTAACTGTGACCCACCCAACCGATTATATGGAGGACGAAGCAACACTGTTGCAGCAAATAGTAACTTGAGACCTCCTGGTACTAACTTGAGTGAAGAAGACCAAAGAAACGTTGGAAGTATGTATTATTTATTACCAAACTAATGTGGTTTATAATTGAATTTTTCAGGTTATCACTGGGACTGTTCTGATTGGGCCAGACACTCTCAAACCTTACCCAACATCACCGAAGTACCTGGCTCAGAAATACCCGATTCGTCCAGTTTTCACAGCAATGAAAGTAACGAATCACGGTGCGCCAATCACGTGCCTCATTCGTATCCCCACCATCGAAATAATGCAGGCGTTACACCTCTAAACGAAGTAAGATTTTGTTTAATGTATTTCTGAGTATTTTCAAATGTATCTTTTAGGTTGACGCTGAATCGGAATCGGAATCGAATCGGGATCATACGACACTGAACTCGCTCAGTGGTGATGGTAGCAGCGAACACGACTATAGATTTGCCACAGGTAAATGTTTTGTTATTCTCGGGGAATTTTGAGGACTTTATGGCGTATATTTATGTGTAAAATATTTAAGACTGAAACCAAGCTCAATTTTTGTAAAAGTTATAGGTTAATAAGATCAGTTTTAAACTTAATTTCAGCGGTACTATGGCACGAAACATCTTTATAGCAAATGTGTCTTTGGTACCAAAAATAAAAACTCTGTAATTATGTAAGTCAAGTTTTTATGTGAGCTCGCAATGTATTTATTCCTTTTTATATTTTGTTTTTGTATATTTTTTCTTAACATACAAGGTGTCATACCTGTATAAATATTGCATCGTCCTCTCTAATTTTGAAATATTTGTACTAAAAAATAACCCCCCCTAACAGAATAGTTTTTTTTTTTTTTTTTTAATAAGTGAAGAACATTTTTAAGAATTAACTGAGAATTTTTGTATTTGTGCAACCACTAACGCAGTGCCTTTGATTATTGTTAAACCAAGTGAGTAGATTGACAATTAACTTCTGAATTGAAGGCTTGAGAATTTCTGTACACAAGCCTCCAATCATTTGCATGATTTTTTTGCACTTGTTCTACGACAATTTTCACCACCTTAACTTGGTGTTAACCTTCTCCATATCGGTTTTCCAATCACCAAAAACATGGAATTTTTTACTGATACATTTTTTTCTTCTACAGCCGATAGCTATATTCGTCACCCCAACTCCTACCTTCCCCCGCATAGCTATAATATTCCTAGCGAAGCCGAAGCCGAATCTCTCCAAAGTCCGGGTTCCGACGACGTGGAACCTTACGGCTTCCCTAGCAATCGCAATAGAAGGAAACATATGGATGACGATATGGCTAGTGTTATTACAACTTTAGGTAAGAATTTTTCGATCATTATACCTGGGATTCACCTGGCTTTTTTCCTAAAGAAGCCCAAAATTTTGTCCTGAATAGACCATAAACCCACACACATCAATACTTGCTGATACATCGCAACGCCGCCTTGCGATCCTTCGCGACATTCTCCACACACAAGAATTGAGGAATAAAAACTGTTTAAATGGTTCACTACCCAAGTAGCACATAATATGGGGTAAACATCGTTTTTCAGTTGGGCCAATATTTATTCATTTTTGTTGATAAATCAACACAGTACCAACATTGGGGCAACGTTAGTTTTAACTATGTGGAAACAATATTTAAAAATAATCTTGTACCAATATTGTTTTCATAGATTAATTAACTCTTCAGTAATTTGAATATTGGCCCAAGACTTCTCACTACAATATTGATTTATGAAATATTGGCCAAATATTACATTTTATATTATTGAAACAATATTGTAATATAATATTAATTCAATATTGGCATTCAATTTTTTATTGATATTTAAATTCACTTCAAAAACTTTGTACACCCAATATTTATTTCCAATTTTTTCGCAATATTGATACTTTTTGAAAAGCCCAATGAAGGGCCAATATTTACATACTAATTTTTACCAAGGTTAGATTTTCTGAATTGAAAATGTTGGTCCAATATAGGGTATTCAATATGCGCACTTGGTGTGCCGACCAAAAAATAGATGGAGACTGTGTCTTCACTTTACCTGTCTTAAACCTGGTTCCAGGATGAAGCCAAAAATTGATTGTTTTCTCTCTGCGGGACCCTGGCGGGACTTAACCATGCTGATGACTTGTGATACAGCGAAACGGGTCCACGGATGGTCCGGCAAAGAGAAAACACTTCTTAGTCGGTCCTTATTATTGGTCCGTTACCTTAATTAAATATAATATAAAGCCAAGATTTACATACGTCTCCGGGCCAATATTGGTAATTTCAATTGGCTCTATATTGCATAAAGTTCTTGATATGATATTGATTATTTCTTTTTGGGCCAACATTTGGTTACGTTATTGTACCAACGTTGGTATTTGTTTTTGGGTATATATTGACATACGTTCTTGGACAAATATAGCAGAATGTCCACATCTTTTATTGGGCCAACATAGAGAATCTGACTTGGGCCAATAAATCGTAGTTATTGTCCCAATATTGGCCCAACATGGGAGTGCTACTTGGGTAAAGTCTGATTTCTCATAAGGAGGGCTTCTCGATTCTGTAGTAACCGGATCTATGCGATTCCTCAAAAAACTACCTGCTGACTCTTTACTGATAGGATCTAAATCATCAATTTGCAACGGGTTCAAAGTTGCATATAAGTATGCTCACTTTCATTTGTTTCGATCTCCTCGATTAGGTATAATGCAGAGCTGGATGTTAGTAAGTAGTTGCTTGTGTAATGTTCTCTTAAGACAATGTTTAAATAAGCTCACCAGTCTCTCATAAAAGCCTCCAAACCATGATGGAGTTCGTTCTGGAATAAATTTCCAATTCAACTTGTTCAACTCGTTCGGCGGGCAGTGGAGGCATCTCTGGCAATTTGTAAGGTCCACCCCCATAATTCTTACGTTTACCCTTCCTCATAATTCTCTGTACTTGCATTCTTCCCTGCGGTATCCAATATATTTGAGTCGTATTAAGGATAGCGTATGTGATACGCGAACATGGTAATTTTTGGTATGAAAATGTTCGATTATCTGATTCGTTAACTCTGTATTGGATGGTAGGAGTATCGGATAGTTTCCTTCAATCCAAGCCGCATTCTGGAATCGACCATAGACATGAATAAACCTTAACACCTCAACAAGCCATCTTGATCTTTACATAATTATAGATTTCTGGCTCAATAATGTCAATATTTGAATCCATTTCAAAAAGAAGACTTCATATGATGAATATATCTCAATGAAAACTGTTGCAGGATTAATTTGGAAATTTTCTGGATGAAAAGAGGAAGAATAGGAGCTCATTTGACTTGAAGTTTCAAATTGATTTAGTGTAAGTGAAACATCAAAACGAAAACTTCTTGAAAATCATCTGCCAGAAACTAGATTTTATACAAAAAACCGAGGGGTTAATCACTCCCCAAAATCGTGTCACAAATTCGTCCGAAATCCCCAAAATCTTACCGAAATCCTACCGAAATCCCCGAAATCCTTCTGAAATCCACAAAATCACTCCAAAATCCGCCGAAATCCCTCCGAAATCTCTCAGAAATCTTTCCGCAGACCCAAAAATTCCTCGCAATTGACCCAAAATTCATAAATCGGTCAACGCGACCGTTTTTTAGTTCATACTAATACACTTTCGAATATACTTATAAACTTATATGATAAGTAACAGTAAAATCAAATTAAAATATTTACGAAATCACCTGAAATTCCCTGAAATCACCCGAAGTCCTTCGAAATCACCCGAAATCCTTCGAAATCACCCGAAATCCTCCGAAATCCTTCGAAATCACCGGAAATCCTTCGAAATCAACCGAAATCCCTCAAAGTCGCTCTAAATCTGAAATCTTGTCGGAGTGAATTAGGGAGGATTTTCATGCATCCGTTTTTCCGTCGAAATATGTCCGTTTAACATTCTATTCTGACATAATCGTATATAAATATGTCAGAATAGAATGTTAAACGGACATATTTTAACGGAAAAACGGATGCATGAAAATCCTCCCTAATCCCTCGAAATTTTTCCGAATTCCAACCGAAATCTTACCGAAATCCTCCGAAATCACCCGAAATCCCTCAAAATCGCTCTAAATCCGAAATCTTCACATTTTTCCCTTAGTGAATAACCTCGCAAAAAACATATATTTGATTTTTTTTCTGGAAAACTGTTGCAGGAATAATTTTGAAATTGAGACGCTTAGGACATACCTTCATGATATGAAGTGAATTGATTGGACTGATTGGCCCGAGATTAAATATACATATACGCGGGTCGTCGCGTCAGGGTAAACGCAAGTTTTCGTCTTCCCCTCTGCTACTTCATACGTTACCAAGGTTCACTCACTTGTCGCACTTTATTTATTAACACCCTGTATATTACAATTATTAATACACATATACTACAATACCTGTATATTGAGTAGACATATTATTCATATGAAGGAAACATGAATTATACCAGGGTCCTTATTCTTGAAACCGGGGAGCACTGTTCCCAGGACTCCCAGGAGAACGAGTTTTCCGTCTTTGTTAGTTATATTATCATTTGCATATCATTGAAAAAGACGGAACACTCATTCTCCTGGGAAAGCTGCTTCCCAGTTTCAAGAATAAGGACCCTGATTAGCTGCATATACCCAATGACTTATCATAAAATGAATTCAGCAATTTGAAAGTTTGTCCGGTTAGCCAGAGTCCAGAGTTACTTGTGGCCACACACACAACATTATCTATAGTTACGATGAACCAACCAACACGCTCACTTAATATTTCTTCCAAATCATCTTCCAATAAACAATTTACGAATACCCCAATGATGAGAACAAACCAGAAACTAATTTGGAGTTTCTAGCTAAGTAGTGTTAGATGGCCGATTCTGCATCCTCCGTCCTCCGGAGGAAACGACGTCACCTGTCAATGCCACCTGTCACCTGCCAATGTCAGTCACCTGTCAATGTCATCTGTCAGTCAAATGTCAGTCACCTGTCAATGTCATCTACTCTAACCTATTCCAACCTACTCTAACCTACTCCAACTTACTCCAACCTAACCCCAATTTTCGTGACCGCATTTTAATTTTGACAGGTAAATGAAGTGTATTATGAATCCCATTCCAGTGATGTCAGAAAGGGGCCACCTGCTTACTCGTGCCCCATTTTTCGGATGCCCCCAAAAAGGTCCCATGCTAGTAAAATAGAGTTAAAACACCAATACGGGCCTCCAATTTCTGGCGCGAGTTATCCGGGCTTTTTTTACATAACCTAAAACTCATAACCTAAAAGTTGGCTCCCGCCCAGTGATGCCAACTCTAGGGATTTGTCCCTAGTTCTAGGGATAAATATAGAAAATAAAAATTGTCTAGGGACATAGGGAAATTCTAGGGGTTTTCTGATATTTTGAATTTTTTTACACAATTTAATTAATTCTGAAAAAATAAAACTAAAATAGTTATTTGTGTACCAAGGCCGTAAAGTTGATCTTTTTTGACCGAATCAGAAATTTGCGGCTGAGGCGCAGCCAAGGCCAAGCAAATTTCAGGTGAGGCCAAAAAAGATCATTCGGCCGAGGTGCGAAATTTTTTAGGCGAGTGTTTATTCTTGAAAAAAGAAGAAAATTCAACAGTAGCTTTAAACTTTATTGATCAAATAAATAATCCAGCAAAGATAGGTAAATACACAATTAATAATAACAAAAACTACGATAAAGAGAGTGTGATTATAGAAAATTGCCGACTTTTTCGCCTGGTATCTTACATTGAGCTTTTTTAAAAAAGCAATCAATTCTGAAAACTTGCTTGCATTTTACGAAAAAAATGCAAGAAAATACTTCTCCCAAATTTTTAATCATGCCTTTTTTTAGCATTTAATGTGGAAATTTGGATAGAGCTAAAATTAAAAACTTGGTTTCATTGTGGTTGCTAACTAATTGTTTATTGGTTGTGTTGATGGTTACGGCACTGCGTTTCCGATTGTTTGTTTATTTTCACCAAAGTAGCGGCCGTAAAGTAAAAGCGGCCGTGAAGTAAAAGCGGCCGTAAAGTAATAAAGCAAATGCGGCCGTGAAGTAAATGCGGCCAAAAAAGATATACTTTAGGGATGATATTGAATCCGTAAAACTAATCTTTTTGTGACAGTCGCCTAAAAAAACATGTTGCATTTAGGTACTTCTGACTTCTGTTCAGCTTTGTCGTTGACGAAAACTGTCTGACCTAAGTTTTCCAGAAGAGACTTCTTGTTGTTAAGCTTGGCTCACACTAGGCAAATTTAAAAAAAATATATTGCCTGAACCATTTTTATGTTTGGCCTGTGGTTTGGCCAATCTTTGACAACCAGTATCATTTTTGTATGTTGTAAAGTGCTCTTTGCCTTTTGTGTAACGTGATGTGTGTGGGGATTCCCGCAACAATCGCGTCGAATCCGAATCAGGAGACAGTCTGTCGTCACTATCGCTACCAGTGACGTTATAACAATGTTTTATTGCTTCTGGAAATTTTGTGTTGGTTTTAAAGAACTTGAGGATTAGTGCGACTAGTTTTGAAAATATGATTTTTTTTCTTGTAAATTACAAGTATCACAATACATAATATTACAGTTATTATTAGGCTGTAATAATAATTCTAAAATAAATTTGAGAAAAATAAATTCTAGGGAATTCTAGGGATATTTTTTTTCAAATCTAGGTATTTTCACATCCCATCAGTTGGCAACACTGCTCCCGCCTCGTGCAACTTGCATTTGCAACTAGACAAAGCGCTAGGCGGAATCCAAAATGTGGATTCGGAGGAGATCGCGCGTCCAAGCACAAGTCCGTCAGAAAGGGGCCACTTGCTTGTCCTTGCTGCCTGACGTATATCACCGGGCCTGTGCCCCATTTTAGAGGGCTCCATTTTTTCGTGAGCCAGCATTCCTCGAAATTTGTGCTGAGCTGGCCTACGTGCCTGGCGATGGTAAATATCTTGCATCGGCAGATTGTACGTCCTCCGTTCTCCGGAGGACTCGTGCCAGAAACAAGTACATCCCCACTGCAAACCTATAGGCACCCGCGTTCGTTTTTTTTTCAACGATTTGAGGTTAGGTCTTTACCTTTGACTTTTCAACTCGCTTTTCAAAGACAAAGACACTGCAAACCACCCTAACCACAACAAATCACAAGTATTAAACTTGAGTATTAAACACAAAAGTTGACAAAGCGGAGGGTTAATGAGATCTCAAGCATATGAGAAAACCGAATCAACAAGATCACTTACGAACGCGAGTACTCGATTTCGGATCAGTTTAGGAACGATGAGATTACTAATAATCCGATTGATTAATCACACTTTCCGAAAGCGGCTATTGATACCTGCACCTTCTACCTGGGATTCACCTTGCCTAATATTGATACCTCAGATACCTGAACTCTCTACCTGGGATTCACCTGGCTATTTTCCTAAAGAACCCCAAAATTGTGTTTTGAATAAATCATAAACCCACACACAAAAATATAAAAAAATAAAATTTGGAGTTTCTTTAATTTCAATTTTTGTTACATTCCAGAAGAACGTCATTCCCTTCTAGGCGGTTGCTACGGAAGCAATAGCGACCTATCGACGAATCTCTGCGAAATCGAAGATTCCGAATGCGAAACCGAACACAAACCCCTCAACTATATGTCGAACAGGGTGCACCAGACGGACGTTTGACAGTACGCCACCGAGCCCAAGAAGAAAAAGGTGCGTTTCTTGGGATAGCACGACGTCATTATCATCGAACAGGATGACGGCAACTAAAACCTCGTAGTTTTTTCGATAATAATGTGATAAATATTGGTTTGAGGAGGACAAAACTGAAATCGTTCCTGTAATTTTTAGCTTTTGAATTTTTGGCAGCTAGGTTTAAAAACTAATTTTAGTTATTTAACTTTCGATAAACGTGATATGAAGTGGAGGGTGACCGGTGTACACACTTACTACTTAATTAAAAAAAATAAAATAATTATTGCCTGTTAACGAATCAATAACCGAACACTTTTTCTATATACATAAATCAAATTCGAATTGTGTAAAAAATAGTAGAGGAAATTGAGAAGCAAATTTCAGTTTCACAAAAATATGCTTCTCGGTTTAAATATTAATAAATCGATATCGTTGTGTTAAAAGTTTTTATATTGAAAAATATTTTCCAAAAACAAAAAATCAATCGTATGTGTATTATCAAAAAAAAAATGAGTTGAAATTTTATCATAGCGTTTGCATATCAGGGACCTGTCCGGACCAAAAACTTCAATTCTGCTTTTTTAGTTTGAAGAATCATTATTGCTGTTTTGTTCAAATAAATAATTTTCGATCCCGATCCAAAAAGAACCAATCGTTGTCTGTAGATAGTAAGTTTATAAATAATATCGTCCGGATTGGTCCTCCGCCTTTTACCTACTTGTAAAAAATAAACAAATCTTAAAATTATCTATTTTTGTAACAATTAGTTAATAATAGTTTTTGATGTATGATTTTTATCTGATGCATTTAGATTTTTTTTTTTTTTGTATAGACTGAAACCTTGTTTGAAGTTGGATTCCAAAAATAGTTACTCCAAACATCAAACTACTGTTCTACATTTAATAATTTTAGTTTGAATGGTTGTTCGTTGACAAAATCAATTCCCAAAATAATTTCCTATAATTATTATTATTTTATTTAGTTTTAGAACTTAATGTTAGGGTTGAAAATGTGCCTATACACAAACCATGACGACTGCGCAGATTCCGTAAACTGTGTCAGCTCAGTTTTGGATCCTTATTGTAAATGTTAAGCATAGACTACTTAAGTAAAGTTTAAGTAATTTTTTAACCGCTTTTTTTTTCTAGCTTTTGTAAATTTTTACAACTTATTTTCATTTGGTATTTATTTTTTCGTTTTGTTTTTCTTTGTTTGTGTTGTTTGGTAGCTACAAAAACCATTTTGTATTTATAATTTGTAATGATAGGAAAAATATCTCCATATGGATCAATTTATTTTTACTTTCTTTAATAACTAGTTTTTAACACATTTTAATATTTAGTAAAGTAAGTAAAAAGAAAAACTGAATAAATAAAAAATTTTAGATGTAATTTTTTTATAATAAACATGAAAAATTAAGTCTGGAAGTTTTATTTGATTTGATTCTATTCCGGACAAAAAAAATTGAAAAAAAAAAACAGGGAAATCGTTTCGTCCATATTTTTAGACCCCTCTCACCCACTAATGTTTCGATAATTTATGTTTATTAGAAAGAGATAGATGTAGCTCCAGAAATAATCTTGAAATGTTTACGAAAAAACAGGATCGGATTTTGTAAAATTACAAATTTCTGCCATAGTCACAAGGAATATTTTGCCATAATGCATGCCCTTAGCATGTTGCTGTTGGGAGCGTGGGACCCCCCCCCCCCCCCCCAATGTTACGAGATTTTTGTCTGACAAATCGTTAATATAACATAAAAAACAGTCGATTGGAATTAAAACTACAAAATACACGTACCTACATGTATCACTGTTCTCAGGGACGTCAGAATGACAACTTCCCGAAGAGCTAGTGCGACAATCAGTGGCATAAATAAGATGAAGTATAAGCTCAGACTCAAAGTATACACCGCACAAAAATTATCGCATCTATAAAAGCAGAAAACACAGAAATTAACAGCATAATTGCAAAGTGGAATGTATGCCTATCCGCATTTTCCCGAAAAAAGTAAACAAGAACCTAACAGAAGAAGAAACGACATGTTTTTTGACTCGAGTTTTTCAGTTAAAGAATGCCCATTCAGGGAATACTTGAGAAATTTTCAAAATAAATTTACTGTAGCTAAAATATTTAAAAGCATTGGTGATGCGATAATTTTTGTGCAGTGTGTATTTGAAGTACCTATATGCTGCAACTGGTATTAATAAATGAAGTTAAACTTTTGAACAAACTCGATTGACTCTAGTTTCTGAGCATTTGCTCTAGTAGATATTATTTAAAAAAAAGTATTTGCTTCAAGTTTGGAGCATCTGGTCCATTTCACTTGAGTCTAGTCAGTAGCAAACTCAACTTAGGAAAATATAAAATCCTAAAATATATTCAGTCCGTAGAGGCGTGGACGATCGAGACTGAAAAGTCTAATAAGTATCGATTTGAAAAGGAAAATATTGAATGGATGTGTGAACACTTTCTAGGTCATTCAGAGGAAAGGAGAGGAGGAGCTCTCACGCCACTGCAACTTTTTAAAAATTTTCGAAGGTATGTGGCGAATCCTGATTTTCAGACTGGCGTTGCTACAGATATAGGAATTCGCCAACCAACTGTCTCAAATGTCATAGCAGAAGTTATTCCATAAAGAATAATACAAAAAGCTGATTATTGGGTCCATTTTCCTCCTACTGACGAAGAGAGAGAGAAGGCTGCCTGGCAAGAGTCTTACAATTTCCCTTGTGCAATAGGAGCAATAGATTGCCTCATTTTAAAAAAGACGAATATATCAACCGAAAAGGATTTCCCAGCCTCAATGCTCTCGCAACTTGCAACAGCTCAGAAATGTTTCTCCGTTCATGGTGCCTGTATTGGGACCAATTCTCAAATCCAACCAGTTATCAGCAGAAATCAAGTTCGTAGGCGATTCAGGATTTCGCATCGCTGCCTGGTTAATGACACCTTTCTGAGCACCTGGTAATCTAAAACAACAAGCATTCAACAACATGCATATTACCAGAGAAAGGGTCACCATTGAGAGGTGTTTTGGAAAACCGAAACAGAGATTTCCTATTTTACACCATAAAATTACTAATTTATCATTTTTTTTTTCAGGTTGAAACATGATTTTTATCTGAATCCAAAACACCCCCGCGCCACTTCGCGCTGTACTGTGCGTGTATGCATATCCTCAAGATACTTGAGTTCAAGCCAAAAAATGAGCGAATGCTCAGCTTGTGTTTATTTATACCAGGCAACAGTAAAAGCTCAGACTCTGCCCTCATACTCCGAGCATTTACTCCGTGCTCAGACTGATGTCCCATCGCCCAGGTTGAAGATGTGAACAAAATTGTCCGACTTGATGTTATGAAGCCACTCAGAAAGTTTGGCGTGTACATGAGTTACAAAATTCTAAGATCGATGTACTGAGGACTAGACACCGGGAACCACATCGATCTATATAGTATTTTTAATACCTATTTAGAAGTAGCAGTCGTTCTAGTGACAAAACGTATGTCGCTTCTTGACACACAAATAAAATTAGGTTAGGAATTTCCTATTTGTACATGAAATTGACGTATTAGCAATCGACATTCGTTTTTGTTGGTAATTTTTTGTTTCATCTGATTCGCGATTGATAAATAAGGATGGGGTTATTCTAAATGGGTATAACAAATACTATATGTGAAAAACTGTATGCAGAAAATTTTTGAAAATATGACAGTATACTAATGTCAATGGGGGCAACCCGGCTAAAATATTTTCAAGATGGTGGCATTTCCGGTTATACCAGAAGTGGACGTCAACTTCCTTATTTTCAATGAAACACCCTGTATATGATTGCATATTTGGATTCTACGTAAAATTCTGAGCAGATTGCATGTGATATACCCTTTACCTAAGTTCAACTGTTTTGGAAATACTGCGACAGTCGAAATTTGACTTTTTGCAACTTTGGCCAGGCTGTAAAACCTAAACGGATAATTTTAGAGGAAAACCGATTTCACATTCCTGTCTTAGATTTTCATAAACTATCATTTGACACAAACTTTGAATTTAATCCATGATTGAAAATTCCAATTAAATTTGATCTCCGGGTAGATTCAAAGTTGGTGTCAAATGATAGTTTATGGAAATCTGAGATAGGAATGTAAAAGCGGTTTTCCTCAATAATTACCCATTTAGGATGCATTTAGGTTTTACAGCCTATCGAAGTAGCAAAAAGTCAATTTTCGACTGTCAATATTTCCAAACAGTATAGGCTGTATCACATGAAATCTGCTCAGAATTTTACGCAGAATCCAAACATGCAATCATATACATGATGCGGTGAGCGATAAAGCGGCGTTTCCACAAACATAATTATTGGCGCCAGTGCACGTGCCAGTTTGCTGGCGTAATAATAGTGGCGCCAGTAGCTGATGGTGGATTGCACAGTTCGTTTTAGAACGTCTTAAGTCATTCTTAAGTTATTCTGAAAGTTAAGCAAGGAAAATTCGGTTGCACCAGTCAGAAAACTCACCTAAGATGGGTTTAGGAATTCCTAACTTTAAGGCACCACTGTTGGGACCTTAACACGTTCTTAGGTAGAAATAATTGTTTTTTTTTTGTCAAATGCAAATGTCAATTATTTGTCGTAGTGATTTCATAATAGCTATTTATACAATAAGTTACGAAATGAGCGTCTTTTAGGCACGCGACGTGAAAATTGTCCAACGAGGCAAAGCCGAGTTGGACAACACGTCGAGTGACTAAAAGACATCGTTTCGTAACGTATTGTATACAAGATTTTTTCTACTGGCATTTTATAATAAAAAAACACAATTTTATTTCATGTGAATAAGTCGATTACACCCAAAATCTTTGTTACCTGCTTTTACTTGACACCTGACACTTTTCATGCGATTTTCTTTTCAAAATTCGACATCAATAATTAAAATCCTAGAAAGTAGGTAATAACACAAACTTCTGTTTTGAGTAACCCAAACGTTCAATTCAGTAATTCCATTTTCAATATTCATAATAAATACAAAACAAAATTCAAATATGTGTTTAGTGTGTTTTTTATTTCTGAATAATGAATGACACTTTTAGGCACTAGTGCTTAAAAATTACTTTTTCTACTGACATTTCATAATACGCTATTAAACGATTAAAATCTGTATCATAATGAACTTCATTACGATACAGATTTTCATTATAATACTCATTTTTAATATTATACAATGTTGATAGATGTCAGCACTAGTTAAGATATTAAACATTTTAAACGGTAATTTTGCATAAAACAATTATTTTGATAACTATAAGAAAGACTGCGAATTGTTTAAAAGTTACCTAAAGTTTGGGACAAAGAATAATTATTATGGAAATAATGAATGATAAGGAAGAATTTTTACTTTTTTCATTATTTTACAATGTCAATAGATGGCGCCATCAGTTAAAAAAATTTGAATTTTTTTTTTTTGAATGTTGGCAGCACTCTGTTTATAGCTTTTCCATGGTAATTTAGCGAAAAACAATAATTTTATAAACAAAAATACCTCAAATTGTTATTAAATGTTAATACCTTAAGTTTGGGAGAAGGCATTATTATGGAAATATTGAACAATAACGAAGAATTTTCACTAGCACCTCCAGAAATTACATAAAGGGCGACAAATGCAGGTAATAATATACTACCGGACAAGTCCAAGAAAATTTACGAAAAATTATATGGACAATTTATGGATTGGAAACACCAAAAACACATCATCCTTCTCAGAAAATGTTTTGATAGTATATTTTGAAGAATTACAACAAAAAATGAAACCTTCAACTGTATGGATTACTCAATTATGAAATCTCTATTCAAAGTTAAGCATAATGTTGACATACCTATCTAAATATCATAAGTTTTATCAATGGCAGTAGAAAAAATAGTGTATGCAACTCTCATGTAATGGCCATTAATACACTCGCATGTTATATACGAAACTCGCCTGCGGCTCGTTTCGTATCCTACAACATGCTCGTGTATTAATGGCTATCATTACATGATCATTGCATAATATACTATTTACGCACTCATAAGTCACTTTTACGCATTCAAAAGTCACTTTTACGCACTGAGTGCCTAAAAGTAACTTTCACGCACTCAGTGCCTAAAAGAATGTCGTTTCAAAACTGAAATGACAATCGAAAAGTTGCTATTATGAAACGTCAGTAGAAAAAACTTATATTTATCGAGATATTTATACCTATATTATTTTGTTTCTTAAAATCCTAGTTTTAAATCTGTGTTCAAATATGGAATTATTTGGTGATGATTTCCTGCAATGGCTTATGGGTTAAGACAAAGAATATGGTACAATATTTTCAAAATTTAAATTAGGATCCCTAAGTACTTATATGTATTTTTAAAACTTGTTTAAATTAGGTATTGTGTTTTATATAAAATAAAGGCAGTTTGTAGGTATTAAATTATTATTTTATTACCAAAAAATACAAATAACAAAAATTTAAGTTTGCCTGGGCATAATACCACAGATCACCTACATACAAATGCGAAAGAGCGGCGAATTCGTGGTTCATGCTGTGGTTCAAGGCACAAAACGATCAAGGTTAATTTGGGAGGATAAAGCTTGGTTATGTTTGTAGTTTGTACTTGTGGATTCGTTGTTGATTCGTATTGTTTGGTTTCTTTGGTTTCTCTCAAGAAATCATAAACATTTTTCATCTTTGAAGTGCAAGCGATCAATGCAAACTTAAATTTTAAGATCATGCTTAGCTAAGTACGTGCTAAGAATCAGGAGTAATTTTTCTTGTGCAATCCACCATGATTCCACTTGATATCAAAAACTTTTAACTAGCGCAGTAGAAAAATGAAAAATGGCGTCAACTTTAATGCAGGTATTAATGTTGCTGTGGATATTTTATATCTAGAATTATTGCAGAAGACCCGAAAAAAACAAGAAGAAGAGACATAAACACAAGATCTGAGTACGAAAATGGATTTCACGCAGAAAAGCTCTAGGAGCATCAAAAAATTTACTCTCTGAGTTAGTGGATGAAAACCATGAAGCATTTCCAAAGCTTCTTATTTTCCTAGCAGCAGCAATTATTTCAAAACCACTTAAGAACACGAGAACTCGCACAATACGTCAACACTTATCCTTATATCCCATTTATTTCTGTCTTTGTAACACAAAAGTTTGTGATTCCACAAACAGGGATGCTCTTCCATAAACTTTATGTGTTCAATTTTTCAGATTTACTTGATATTTTCATTATTTTTCTGAAAACGACCATGGGCTAGTATTTTTTTTGACAAACTGTCACACATGGCAAACTGGCGCCAAAAAGTAGACCTCCATTCTACTTTACTGGCGCATGAATAAGTGGCGCCATTTAACTAGTGCCAGTTAATTTTCCACGTTTCCACGTGCCAGAAAAGTTACGCCAGTGGACTGGCGCCAATAAACTATGCATGTGGAAACGCCGCTTAACAGAATCCTCAAATTGGAGTCAGCGCCATCTTCGATCACGATGGGCACAGGTACACAACTGCAATAACGGACTGTCCAGCAACAGAAAGTTGGCATTGAAGACATTCCATTGCATAACGGATATTCCAAAGCGTCATTTGATCGAGTTGCGTAACCGTCAAGTCAAAGTCAAGATGTTTTATGGATGCATGGGAAATTTTTGCATAAACCATATTTTCTATCATGGGACAGCGTAACACATAATTAGCCTACCATATTCTAGAATTATTGCATTGTTTTTTTTTAATCATCCACCTTCAAACTTTAGTACCATTTTCAGTGTTTTGACTTATGCAGTTGAAGAGACGAAGAAACTATCTGCACGCACCTGTATAATAACTTTCAATCAGCCCTTATATATGAAGGCAAGGGACTGCATCTGAAAATGAGAGTATAGGCCTAAATTTTAGGTGGTTTTCATCTTCTTATGTCTTTTTTGGGCTCTATTGGTTATATCATGGGTAGCAGTAGACAGGGTCGCCAACTACGTGGGTGCTCGAGAGGTCGAGCACCCACGAAACGTAAACAGTGGGTGAAGAGCACCCACGAGCACAGAGATAAAAACTGATAATCCTAATAATGGTTTAATTTAATTGTTACCTAGTTAAAGTATTTCTCAAAATTAAAGATAAAAGTCAAAATGAGATTGGCTGATTTTAAGCGATTGGCCACTAGGTCATTTTGACAGATAAGCAATGCATTTAACGTCAGGTTTAGGTATAAGACCAATAGATTGACGAATAACGCTTGATTATTGGTTTATCTGTCAAGATGGCCTATCGGTCAATCGGTTGAAATTGGCTATTATATAGGCGAGTTCGGAAATGACATTGCAGATGCGACAGATTTTTTTACACGTGACTTCAAATTGATTTTTTATAAGTTAAACACGTGACAATAATTGTCAAAATTTTCATCTTTGGCCGTGTTCGCTTTTGTCAAAGTTCCTGACTGGTCAATCGCTTGAAATTGGAAATCCCCAATGTAAAATTGTTAATGCTCTCAAATTTTTTACGTATAAAAAAAGCTTGTATTGCCAACATAGGCTGGGTTCGGTAATTGCATCTACATGCAAAAAGAGAAAATTTTGACAGACGTCACATGATCGATCATCGTTTTTCAAGTGTCAAATCACGTGAGATCTGTCAAATTTTACTCATTTTGCTCGCATATGCAATGGGGTCGTCCCACCTTTCTTTTTTTATTGGATTTTCGAATTGCCTGAATACAATATAAAATGTATGTAACCATAATTTGATCCACCATTCGTTATTCAGTTAGAAAAAAAAATTATTGAATTTGCCGATAAAACGAGCGCCTAACGTGACGTCACATGACTCTGACCAATAGCATTGTAGTCTCCCAATCCGTCGTCAGAACTAGAAATCAACCAATTAAAGGGGTGGTTATGACATTGAAATCTGTCAGTTTATCTTTAATAAAAAATAGGACTTTATTCAAGAGGCTATACACTATCTCTGCTAGAATTCACTTTAGTTCTTTAGTTAATGTCGGTAGCACAGAAAATTTATTTTAAAGGCTCAAAATAAACGTTTTTGGGCGTGGCACCCGGAAAAAATTGTTCGTCACCGGCGCATGCCGATGCATGAGCATCAGCACCCACGAGGTTTTCTAAAACCCGGCGCCCCTGGCAGTGGACTGTCCGAGTTGTGGTTACATTATACGCAGCCACATCGGTACCGCATAATGCTGTCTGGTCACGCCTATGCTCGAGCACTGCGGGCACATTTTCTCATTTACTCAGCTCTTCGTACGTTGAGGCTCGAAGAAATGCCCGTAGAAGAGGTAGACAAAGCATATTTGCAAGAAATACTTGCCAATTTCAAAAAAAAAAACGTAGGTACCTATCTACTTTTCAATCAACAGACAATGAGAGTACCAAGAATTGGGCCTGAGAGATATACAGGTTTGTTCCAATCGACATGAGAACCGTTCTAGAACGATAATGTCCAGTCGATCAATTCATTTGTCAAGTAGGATAAACGTTCAACTTATTGAAAAATAAGTGGGCAACTGTTCTCACGTCGGTTGGAACAGAGCTATAAATAAAACAAAGTATCTATGTGTACGCACCCAGAATGGAAACTTGGAAGTAGGCGATGGTCAAGAAATTCTGCAATGTCAGGAATATGAGTATCTAGGTATCACATTCGAGAACACCGGAACAGATGTGAAAGAAATGGAAAAGCGAATAGTTAAAGCTAAAAAAGTAATAGGATCCCTAAAGGGAATCTTATATAGCAGAAAATTCAAAATATACGAGACAATGATAAAGAGCAGCCTTCTATATGGAGCCGAGATTCAAAACAATTGCAGACAGAAAAAAGAAGAAAGTGGAAGCAGTTGAAATGTATGCTATCAGAAGATTCAAGCGAGTCTCACAAAGAGAGAGAATAAGGAACGACAATATAAAACAACAAATGGGAATAAAAGGCACGATAGTTCAGGACATTGAAAAGAAATAACTTACCTGGTAGAACGAATGCCCAGAATAATGCTGTATTGGCAACCAACCAGTAGAAGAAAACAAGGAAGACCAAAACTGGAATGGCAGAGTGAAAGAAATCTCTCATCAGAGAATTGCGACGATAAAAGAGGATGATAATTAGGTGTCGGACAACGAAGAAAGACGTTCTAAAACAACATGTTATATATATTGTCAAAACCGAGCCTGCTTGGGAAAATAACACACTGTACATGACTTCAATAATGAGTTTGTTACGAATCGACAAAACGCAGGCCATAATTAACCTGGTTAATTATGATGAGACCAGCAATAAACGGATATAACTTGCGCCGCGAGCCGCAGCAAAGGCAGACTTGAACCAGTGCAAGTACCTCTCGTTGGGAAAGCCCCTCTGGATTCACGTCTCCCCAGTGCAAGTACCTCTAGTTGGGAAAGCTCCACTGGACAAGGCATAAAGATGACGATAACTAATCGACAGTCCCCCAAGCAGCGTTGACGTGTGGCTCCCTATAAGGACCCCATTGTTGGAAGGATCATGCATCCTATAGGACTAGCATATAATATGTAAAAGCATATTTATATATATCTATACTTTTATACAACTTGAGCGAGTTTCTCTCCATCAACCCCCAAAGCTACAAACCCCCCATGTCACCCCCGTAATGCGGGCAGTTGTGACAATATAGGTATATTAATTTTTCTGTTTTGTAGTAGGTATTTTTTTTACATACTTCGTTTTCCATCGCTTAGAGGACTTTTTATGCCTCATCACTTACCTTGTTTCAGCGGTTAATGTCCTATCCTTCTTTTTGTTTAATCCTATTTACATTTCTTTTTTTTTGGTTCATTTAATGTTGTTTATGTGATCTTCTTCAATGCCCTCTTCCAGTGAGCTTCAAAATTTCTCACCACACACTCTCATTTGTTGAACAACTTTTTTCATTCAAATTTGGCCTTGAGTTTGATTCTAACTCTTAGGGCCGGTTCCTCAACAGCAAGTCATCCCCGAGTTAAACATAACTCCAGGATAAACATAGCAACTGGATATGTATACTCTGGAGTTAAAACTAACCCGGAGGTGACTCGCTATTGAGAAACCGGCCCTGAGAAGTCTAGGAACAAGATAGAGATGAAGAAAAAAAGAACTCTGAAGTAACTTAAAAATTTCTTGATGAGGATATAAGCGGAAAAAAAATATCTGGACAAATCTTGATGTGGACAAAGATAGAGGACAAAGGTCAAGAGAAAAATGATACTGACACAACTACTTGAAATTCCGATGAGAAAAAAATATGATAAAAAGAAACTAAAAACAAAATGAATTCTGAATCGATGTCAACAAATTTTGATGAGGCATCCAACTTGGACAAGATAAATGGTTTTTGCTTCAAATCCGTTCCTGTTAAATCTAGACCCACCTATTTCAAGATAATATGTGGGATGATGAAAATAAAAATTTTGAAATTCTCCCACTATAGTTGATGGATTTTGATATCAATTAGTAATTAAGTGACCATCAAGCTGTTGCATCATTTAACAAGTCGATTTTTTTCCTTCCAACTGAATTAATTTGCTTCAGTTTGCCCTGAGGAATAAAGTTGTATTCACAGCAATTGAAAATATATATTTGTTTTTGAACCGTTCTAAATCCGTTCCTGTTTAAATCTCGGGACGTTGCGAAGCTTAGTGGGGTTCCCGGCGTCGCGACGCGGTCCTTTCCAGCTCAGTCAGCATCAGACGGACGACGTAGAGTCGTGAGCTGCAGCATGCTGAGGTGGCTGCTCCTAGTGGCGCTGGTGGCGGCCAAACGGAGCCCCACGACGCATCACCAGGACTCCGCCGTCATCGAAGAAGTCACATCCAAGCAGCTCGAACGCGTCCTACAGGACAAGGGCTTCGTCGCGGTCTTCTGGTGTAAGTAGTAAACAAATTGGGACAATCAAAAGAATTTCAAATGATCGCAGTAGTGTTTTGTGGATTTAGTGATTTGTATAGTGATGATATAGTGCACCACAGTGGGTTGATTATATTGAGGAAACTATAGATGGTGAACATCGGAAAAAGAGTCTTCTTTTGTGCATGATTTTTTGGAGTTGTAGATTGTAGAAATGTTTGTCATTTGAAACTTGTTATACAGCGTCATTTGCTCAACCAACTTTTAAATGGTTACAAAGTTTTCAATAGGAGAAATTTCTTGCCGTCATTTAAATCTTATGCCAACCATGTGTTGTAGATAGAGCGCCACCTTCAGACCAAATATTTCAACATGGCCATGGATTATAAAAATAAGAAAAATGTCTATGTCTTTCTAAATAGTTTCATTATTAATAAATAACTAAGAAGCTTCATCAATTAGCATAAATTTTTAGTTAATTCATCAGGCATTATTGAGAATTTTGCCGCTTCCAAATTATGCAACTTTTCCCAAAATGATGAATCATCTCCAATTGTAGTTTTTACATCAATAGATTCCATTCACTGAAAATTACTAGATGTTTTCGTAGATCTGTTGAAATGCTTCTGTTACCAAAACAATAGTATAAGTTACGCATAGCTTAATTTGGTTACGGTATTGTGTGTCCTCCTCCCGCAGTCGTGATGCAATAAAAATCGGTTTTCATTGCCAAAGGACCCCGAGATTTTTCCGTTACAGTGTTGCCAGCAACAACGGAATTTCTTTACAATTGTTTAAAACATGGATGATTATTGGAAAATAAACATGGTGTCATCAGATTATGCACATGTGAGCAAATAGGTACAACATGAGCCAAAAGTGTTGAGTTTTCTTTTTTGGTACAATCGTAAAGTCTAAATATACCTTTTGACTTTCATGTTTTATATTTTGAAGTAGGTTATCTTTATAAACATGTGCAGTAAAAATAATTAGAAAATTATACATATGGCAAAATAATCTTATTAGCCTCCTCATCTTGAAATTTAAGTAATAATGCTTCTTGATTCATTATCTTTTGATTGCCAGACCACAAGATTGAGTTCTATTATTTTTAGATTTATCCCATTATTGAATGTTAAGGCCAATACTTTGGCTTTGACCCTTTCCAATAGAAAAATCATCCAACCTGCTAAGTGTTGCGCACCTGTTGATCATATAAACACGCGTATATATGACAAATTGGTTATTGCAATTCCATCGAAATATCGTGGCAACACCGTCGAATTTTTGCCCGTTTAAAAATAACCGTCAAGATATCTGGTTGCTCCCGTTTTACCCAAGCATAATTGAGTCTTTAAAAATAACCGCCGCTCTCTTTTAATGTCATAATATTTGGGTTTCTTTTTTGGCTAATGGCATATAAATTGAGAATTTACGTTGGAATCGAACGCACAGACAATTACAAATATACAAAAGTTCTCATTGAGAAACTATTTCGAAAATACAATCATAAAAGGAAAAGGAAAATCCCAAAGACACCTAGAGTGTCTCAATGCTGGTGACTTCAAACTACTGAGAACTTTTCAAAAATCTTCAAATTAAAATCTTAATTCACGATTTTGGAGTCTCAAAGCTTTATGGATTTGAAATGAAACCCAAGACTAAAGTTCCTCATTTGATTTCTTGAAGGTGTAACTAAAATTTTATGTCAATTTGATTACATTCATTCCAGTTTCTCTCTGTTTACTTTATACTGGTTTTCATTATCAATTTTCTATTTTTTTAAATTTTCAATGATTCAAAATTGTATTTTTGAAAATCAGGTGTCATGGGAAATTCTGATTTCCTCTACTCTTCGAATTTTTTAGCTCTGAGCCAGGCCTGAAATCAATGACTAAGTGACTCTTGATTCAAAGATTTCAGAGAGTGACGAAATCAAAGGCTAAACACTCTGATAGCTTTGAATCCTCAGAAGACTCTAATGAAATGGAAGATATTGAATGGGAGGTGTAAATTCCTGATATTGGAATTTGGGAGGATGCTCAGAACACTTGGTAGTTTCTTGTTTGTAGGTTGGGTTAGTACACCCGGGTGATGCTATGGATTGCTGTAGGATTTTGCACGAAGTATTTTCTTCTCTTTGATATATTTGGTCTATTATGCAATTAAAACTCGTGTCTAGGCCTCTTGTAGTAGTTGGTAAACATACGAAAACATTTTCTGCAATGTTCAGACTGTTGCTCAACTCATTTTCAGATATTTGGAAGTATAGCTGTAAGTCATAATCTATTGCTAATACTTCGTTTGGAATATCCAGAATCCAATATGACTCTTTCACTGTTTTTAATGGAACTGGAGTCGATCTGATTAGCATAAATTCGTTGTCTTCTATCATCACAAAATATCCATAGACATGGATAAATTCTTCACAATCTTCACTGTGTTCCACTTTTGTCTGGAGCACAGGATAAGATATTATCTCGATATTGGACAGAATCTTTTGCTATTATCTCTTCAACGTGGGTCGGGGATATTAGATCATATAGCATATAGGTGGTCTTTATGGTAGTGAACATCTGACAATCGTTCATAATAATCCAGAAGTTCATCTATGTAATCTGAGAACGTGAATTGTCAGTTTATTTGCATCCACCGTTCGATACCATCATTGATTTTTTCCCGGAATCTCTGGAGTTGATAGTTGATTCTGGATTCTGTTGTCATTAAAAGTGGATAGAGCATGTAGCATGAATTTGGTTTGGTGGTTGGATGCCTTGATAAGCTCCTTCTGATTTTTGTCTAATTCGTCGATATTCATGCAGACCTTATCGTTTACTCCGAATACTGCGGTTAATAGGTTTCCCAAAACTCCTCTTTTTTCCACGTTTGGATACCACAGCTTGCAGTCTGTTTTGTATTCATTGAAATTGTTTTTCCTTCTTATTTCAAATGATGGATCAGTAACATGCATTGTGTGTTCATTTCCATTGATTTTACTTACTGACAGAGATCTTGAACGTTCATAGAATCATTTATTATTTAGTTTTTCTCATATTCAAGGTCAACTCTGAAAGTGCCCCTGTCTACTCGTGCATGTCCCATGTGCTCAATGTACAGTCCTGGTTGAGCAAAATGTATTGAATATTGATTTGCTTTGGATCCTTAAAGCATCACAATAAATAGGATGGCGATCAATATCTTTTTCCAGTGTTGTCTTGGGCTTCATTTATTATTGTTGTAAACTGGCTGTTGTTCAGTCTCGGCATTTGACATTATTGAAATTAAGTGATGCGTAAATGTCTTGATCCTTCTGCTCTCTTCATAGCGACCACTCCAACAGATGTGTCTTTACCTGGATGCACTTCAGTGATTCTTGCTAGTGGCCATTTGCATGGATGATGTTCTGATCCTTTACAAGAACTAAATCTTCAATTTTGAGTGAATCCTGCTGATTCTTCCACTTGTAACGGTACTGAAATTGATGGAGATAGTCATTTGTCCAGCTCTTCCAGATATCTTTCTTAATTTTCTGAACTAGTATCCATATTCCAACAACGTCCGAGTTTATGTTTGTAGTTATTGGAACGTGAAAAGATATAATTTCTCTTTTAATTAGAAAATGACATTGTTGCTAAATCATCTCGATCATCTGATATTGGGCACAGAGGTCGAGAATTAAGGGAAGTGGTGAGTTAATGTATTCATATAAGTGTATATCGCCAATTATTCGTTTAAAATGATACTTTATAGATTTGATGCCAGCTTCTCATAATCCTCCAAAGTGAGGAGAAGCTTTTGGAATGAAGAGCCATTAGGTTCCACCTGCAACTAAGTTATCTTGGATGTCTGACTTCTGCATTGTACTGTAAATTTCATCATGTAGTATCTTGCTGGCTCCTATGAAGTTGGTCCCATTGTCACTACATAGATGTGCACTGTGCACATCTTCCTCGTCTGGAAATAAATCGCCGGAAAACTGCCAGGAACGACATATCACTGAAAACTTCTATGTGAATTGCCTTTGTAGCAAGGCAGACAAAAATTGAAATATACCCTTTATAGGATTTGTAACCTCTGCTCTTTGTAGTTTTGATTTGGATAGGTTCTGCGTAGTCAACATCAGTATGTAAGAATGATTATCATCAAATCTCCATAAGATTTCCTGATACTTCAGGTAATCAGCGTGAATCTCTATCTGCCTGTACATTTTTTCAATGTCAGCCGTTATCACTACTTTATGTGACCTCCAGCGTAGCAGTATATCTGACAGTAGTCTGGAACCTGCATACATGGTATTGTTGAGGCTCAATCCTAATGAAGTTTTACTGGAAGCATCAAAGACCACCCTCAACTTTTTTGTAATGCTATAGATTTTTTGAATATGGGTTGATGTGGGATAATATATTGCGATGCTATAGTTCTGTATGTGAAAGCATTTTCATGTGACCTTGTTACTGCTCATTCTTTTCTCTAATTGAACCAGTCGTGCGACAGCTCGTGATCTAGACACTCCTAATCCTCTCTTTTCCATTGAATGGAATTCTGTGTATTTTCCATTTGTATTTCTTGTAGTGGTGGCTTCATGATGTAATATTGATCAACTTCTGATAACGAATGTGTTTGTGAGACCTTTTAAACTTCCCAAAATGTAGGTCATTGTCTTCAATACATGTTATCATGCTGACAACTTGCAGTTTGTTTCCAGAATTTTTTAGTAGGTTTCCGGAAAGAATCCATCCTAACTCTGTTTGTTGGCCAAGGAGACCATCTTTAGTTTTTCGTATGCCTTTCAAGATTAGTTGGGCATATTCTCGAGCCCCGAGAAGTATATCTACTGGACCAGGTCTATAGAATACGCTCTTTAGGAGTTTAGAATGGAAACTGTGAATACACTGCTAATTTGGGATCTATGAGTCAAGCTGAAAATATCAGAAAATTTAAAGACTTCAGAGATTCTAAAGCTCTTGATTCGAACACTTTGAAGTCTCTAATGTATTGAAAGATATTGAAAGGTCTAAGG